GAAATCGGAAGCCATCCCCCCCCGAGGGATATGTCTGAACGTGTGAACGCGCCGAAGACTCTCATATTCAACATACCATCAATATCTTCTTGTTTGTTTGTTTTTTTACTTCGTCCCCGTGGACTCTGCATCCACTACCCTACCATCAACCCTCTCCCCCCATCTCTCTCTTTTCTCCTCGTGTGGACACTCCATCCCCGGCCAGCCTCCCCCGAAGAAAAGGCACCCAATAAAAGAAAACCCAATTTTCTTCTCATGACGCACATACCCGTCTGGGATTGCGGGATGAGTTGGACCCGAGGTTCGGGGTCGAAGCGAAGCGAAGCGACGGAATATCTGTCCCAGTGGATAGAGAGATTTCTCGGCAATGTTTCGACCTCGTGGGCTGCAGTCAGATCGAGCTGAGCCAAAAGATCCTCGGCCAGCTGATCGATCGTCTTGTGAAATGTCATGTCCGAAGAAGGATGTGATCGCGAGGCTGCTGGGATGCTTCCTTCCCCCACGCGAAGTCGATCCGGGTAGCGGTACTGTCATAGTGGAAGTTGAAAGATGATCGCCGCGCTGCTCGTACCATTCCTTGATCCCCAGATCGGTGTAGAGAAAAGGCCAGTGAGACCTTTTACCAGAATCTCAGACGGGTGACTGCCAGGTGAATATGCTTGGCCCCTGGATTTTCAACTTTCTTCAAGCAGCGCCATCGGCTTATGGTCAAGACACCGCAGCGTCAGAAGCTGACAGTTGCTCCACTTCCTCTTTGGCGAGAGATTCACGCTGCTTCAGAACATAAAGCTTCGGCACCCATCCTACATCCACCCACCAGCCTCGCGTCCAACTCCACTCCCTACCCAGAAGCCAGTGAGTCCCATACCCCTCTCGGAGCAACTGCCGCGCCGTCATACTGAACTGGAGTCCAGCTGGGCCGAACATGTTCAACGCAACCATGTCCAGCCCATCAGTCCAAACATCCAGCTTCTCCCAACCAGTCACAAGCCCTTCTTGCTCTCGTTTCTCGCCCCGCTGGAGAATCCGGATAGGCCCAAGACCGTGAGTGGTGGTAACAACGTCCCAACTTCCAATGGCCAACTGGGGGGATTCCATGATCGCGTAGTCAAACTGTGTCCACCAGAATGGATCCAACAAATCGGTGGCGTTATCGGATTTGTCGTAGTACCATTGAGGACCTTGACGCGTCAACGAGGGAGCATGTTGCAGGAAACGAGTTATTCCGGTCTGGGTAGAGAGGTTGTCCAGGTGGATGAGAACGGTGCTGTTTGTATTGTCCCCGGTTGCTCCAAAGCTGTTGTTAGAGGCAGCGTTCTGATGCAGTGCGTTAAGCGCATGGGCGCCTGGGTAAGACAGAGCCGAGAGTGGCAAGAGGATAGCATGGGCGATCAGAGCGGAGAGACACGTCGAGAGGACAAGGAAAACACTCAATAAGTAGTAGAGCAGCATCCGGTGTCTGCGAGTCCAGATGTACGACGAAGATAGAGCTGCGGCAAGAGTCAAGGGTGGGATGACAGGGAAGATGAAGCGCGTTTCTTTGTGAGGGAGAAAACTGTAGATGGCAACGTATGCGAGATTGGGAAGCAGCAGATCTAGAGCTGACTCTGAGGTCGCCTTTCGGGAGATTGCGATGAGCCAGAGTGTGAAATATGTGAATGGTCTTATCAAGAGACGTGGAAGAGCGCTGGTGAAGTACCAATGCCATGATTGGGTCCCCCATGCTGATGCACCAAGACTGTCATCTGGAGGAAAGATGTTGGACAGAAAGGCAGACAGCTCGGGCCAGAGGTAGTTGGGCGATTGCCAGAAGTACGTGTCCACAGGTACGGTCAGGCAGAGACCAACCAAGGTTCCAGCGATGCCGCCAGGGATCACGCTGCTTCTCAGTAGGCCAATCGCATGGGCAAGGTGGCCAAATCGAGCAATTTGCTTTATGACCATGTAGGCAGCATGGCAAAAGAGAAGAAGAGCTATCTCAGACCTGAAGATGATAGCTGTTACCGTGAAGAGGAAGATAGCGAGGCGAATCCGTTGCAAAGATGCCTGCACAGGCATTGGCTCCGGAAGCAACAGCGAAAGGGCTAAGCTGGCTGTGAGGGTCGTCAATAGTAAGGCCAAATGCTGTATAGGAGAACGACGTACTCAGCCCCAAGGCAAACATGTTTGGCAGCGGTCGAGATGCATAGTAAATGAGATGAAACTGGCTCGCCTGAAACAAAATGTACCACACCGCTGTACTCCGGCCGAAAGCTTTTCGAGCACTGTGGGCATAGTGCAACAACGAGACGGCATTCAAGCCACCCAAGACTGCCCGGACTATGGAATATGTTAGTGCCTTGCGTATTGCGTGGGTTGGTCTGAATTCCCAGGCAAACGTGATCTATTCCCACTCACCAAGTAACTGTCTATTGAAGGCCTCGTTGACCCAGAGGACAGGTTTAGAAAGGCCTGCCAATACTAATGCGCCGATGAAGGTACGGGGAACAGCCCCCGGGAAGGTCATGTGGTCATACCGCCTCTTAAACTCCTCCGAGACGTTGAATCGTGGTATGCCATGAGTCAAGATGTCATGAGCCGCCTGAATGTTGAAAGACTCCTCGACTTTCGTGTAAGGAGCCACATAGAGATGGAGAAGTATTACTGCTGGAAGGATAAGCAGGACAGGCTGCCAGCCTGGGGTCACCGGATGAGCTTTTGGGTTGTTTTTCATTTGAGAGGATCATGATCGGGGCCATACCTGACAGTTTCATCATGGCAGCATAACCAAAGAGAGGACTACCCTGTTTTCTCTCCAGATGAGAATAACTTAGACCTTGAACAGCCCTCGGCCAGATTCGATGATATGCCAAGCCTATCCTTGACACACTGTCTCCCTATCTCCCTCCTATAACTATTAATACTATTGGGAGTCCATCTAACCACTATATCCAAAGATGCCAAAGCTTACTGTCTTATTGTCTCCTATAAATTATTGTCATCTGTTATGTGGAGCTGAGGACCGTCTAAGAGCAAAACAAATGTGAACTCTATGGATTAACAGATCTATTCTCTTAATACAATATGATACAGGCACCTAACACGGAATAGAATGAAGAATTAATCAATTCTTCTTAGTCAGTGCAAAATAGTACAGGTACCCACCAGGATATAGGATGAAACTGAGATTTTCGAATTCAGAAACTCCGCTGCCTTGATGCAATATGCTACTGGTACAGACCAATGCCTGGAAAGGAAGATAGAACTGTCAAATCGACGGAATATGTTTTTCTATACAATATGGCATTGGTGCCCGCTGTCTAGTACTATCCATCACACGCTGTGCATATGCGAATTCTATGTCCAATTCGGGAACTGTCCTAAAGAGGAGCAACTATCTCAGGCAGCCACTTTCGGCAAACCCAACCAACTCCCTTCTTTCCCCTTTGGGACCCTCACCCTCCCAAAGTTCTCATCCAGATCCAAGATAATTTTCAACGCGTTTCTACTCCTCAAATAAGGCAAAGGCGCACGCGCTTCCCTTAACCCAAGCCCCGGCTCAATCCTACCCGTCAACTTTTTCTTTTCTTCAGCCTCTCCGCTGCCAGGCATAGGTAGAAGCTTCCCAAGAACTTCATAAGCCGCAAGTGTAAAGCCGAATTGTGGTGAGGATCGAAGAACACGTGCAGGTCCACCCTTGAAGAACGCCTTAAAACCTTCATCTTTGTACACCTTCTTCGCACAGTCGACAAGCCCGTTGTAGATCGCTTCGCCTTTTCTTGCTTCGACCTGAAGGCGGGTTTTGATGACATCGCAGGGTGTTGTGAGATAAGCTGCTGGCATACCAGCAATCGCACCAGCCGTCAGAAGCTGCAGGACACCGAGTCTCTTTTGCGGACTTTCGCCGAACACGTCTCGCTTCAGATGTGCATACGCTGGGAAATAGATGGCCGAGAACGGGACGTCGCGGAGCAGACAAGCTGATGCACCCTTGTACAGGCCTACTAGACCCAGATTCTTGACAATCCAAAGAGCGCTTCGCTTTGGAACAGCAGCGTCTGCCTTTTTGGTAAGTTCGCCCTGCACTTGAAGACGAATCTTTACGATTTCGAGAGGATTCGTGAAGACCTGCGGGATGCAATCAACATTGGATACGAACCGATGATACATTTGGACTCACCACTTGACATGCCCCAGCAGAACCACCTGCTAACAGCTCGTATCGATACAAAATAGCTCCCGTCTCTTTGTTCATAAAGCGGTTTCTCACCAAATCGTTGACGGTAAGTTTGATAGCCTTTTCTGGTGCAACACCAACTAATTGTGGAAGGACGCCCGAGTAAAGGCCTCGAAAGCCCTCGTTGCGAATAACTTTTCGCGCACAGTCAATGCTGTTATTGTACAGTTTCTCGCCAACCCGACTCGTGCGTTGATTTTGCATCCGAGTCTTGACCAGATCGATAGGGTATACCACGAAAGCACCGAAAGCGCCAGCAATTGATCCAAGTCCAAAGTGATGTGCCGACTCCAGAAGATTATGCATGAGCATCCTCGACGTCGATATCGCTTTCTCAGCAACTTCATCAAGCGCACCCGTACTTGTCTGCCAGCTAGCGTCAATCACCTTGGCAAAATCTTCGATGCCCAGACGCCCAGAAGGGTTGTCCAGACCAGCGAAGTGGAAGAGAATGTCGGCCTCCATGGGTGTGTATAGTGAGAACCTCGTAACTCTAGCAGCTTCGTTAAGGAAGTCTGTCCGCGTAATTTTGCCATCGCCCGATTTGAGTGTGGCATTTCGAATGATGAGATCGACCAAGTCCATCTCCCGGATGATGTTTTGGAACGCTCTAACATTTGCATACGAGATCTTGGTGCCAGCAGAGATGTTGCAAAGGGTTGGTAGGTTTTCAAGAAGGTGGTCGGAGAGCTTGTGCCTAGCTGTTTCTAATATGATGCGCTGGAAATCATCTGGTTCGATGTATCCGTCGCCATCTTTATCAAACAGGTGGAAAGCTTGTCGTATCCTCTCGCCCTGAAGGCCTCGCATCATCTGTGCAAATTGCGGGTACGTCATGTCATGACGTTTCTTCTTACCGCCAATGTACAGTGATGCCCATTCGGAGTTGAAATCAAAAGGGATACTATCTTGGCCTTTGTTCTGGTTGTAGAGTTTTTGGAACGTCTCCTGGTTGATCGAGCCGGTACCGTCAACATCGAATAACCGGAAGGCAATCTCGTATTCCGCGTCCGGTTTGACAAGCAAGTGTTCAAATGTAGCCCAGTCGGACAGTCGGACTTTTCCCGTTCTTCGTCGATCTGCAACATGAAAGAGGAGAGAATATTGTTCGCGTTTAATCTTGTGCTATACAAGACAGAATCGTCAATAACGTACATTAAGTGACACGGTAAGTGACACAGAATTCCTTCATCCTGTGCGGGATCAACCAAGTGGGAAGTGAAGCGTGACTCACGTAATCTTCTTCAGGAGGCGCAATAGCATTAATGAAATCTTCGGAGTCCATATAGAGCTCTCCATCTTCATCTCGCTTAGCATGTTTCATGAAGTTGGCTCGGACTTCTTGTGATAATTGCGCCTCTTCATTCGTGCCAACAAGTGACTCTTTGATCTTCTTTGTCGCTGTCGCCATGATGCTGACTTCTGTAACTGCAGTAGTACTTATCAGGGTACCCGCCGGATTGGGAAAGCGCCGAACAAGGCGGTGGGGAGGATCTTGGTTGCGTCGTCACAGAGGCACAGAGATCAGTACCTCTGTAGCTAGCGGGAGGGTGCACCAAAGAGGATGGAGTCGGTGGCTGACCGCTTTACCAAGAAATGAAAGGACTGATACGTAGATCTGTCATCAAGCATGAGCTATGGCAGTGGGTAATGAGCGGGTCGACATCATGGGGGAGATAATGTGCTTGAAAAGGGTGATCTGGATCTCAAATATTTATTAGGGTATCCACAGTTCGAGCTTTCTCGTCCCTGAAACTCTAAATATTTTTTGGTCTGTAGCCGCATCCACTAATGCATCGACCGTTCCTAGAAGGTTAGCCGAACCTATTACATGCTGAGACGCTGACGCACTCGCTACTGGTTTCTGGTGCTGTTTTGGCAGAGAAATCATTTTCCGCTTCCGCTCGGGTTCTCTCCTGCTATTTCCTTGAAGGTTCGGTTACTGGTTCCGCGCTAGATTTTCCCTCCTACCCTCTTAGGAGAGATTTGTTTATTGGATTATAGTAAAATTTATCCTATTTGGTGGAAAACATGCCGGGTTACGTCAATTGGAAGAGCGTGTGGCTCTTATCTCTAAGTCACCTCAAGGTTGCGGGTTTGGTCCCCACCTTCGGCTTCTCTTATTTTTGTTTATCAATTTCTATATAAGGTGTATTATTGACTGATATAGATAGCAATCGTTTTTTCTTGTATCTAGTTGCCAAGGTTTAGGCCAAGTTGTCAGGTCATACGTTCAGATTAAAGAGGTTTGGTCGGTTGTTTACTACTGATAAGTGCAACATCTAATTAATCTTTTTAAATGTCAGCGCAACCCTCGTAGCTAGCTTCCTTGTAGATAGTGTAATGATTCTTCCTGACCTGTTCGGCTTGCTTGTACAGATTTGCATAATGAATCGATGTGGCTGAGATATAGTGTATTCTCTATATTTCAATTCTGATTAACTAACTTGAAATAAACTTTTTCTCAAATTTCGTGGCCCATCCATCTTCCATCTTCCATCTTCCATCTTCCATCTTCCATCTTCCATCTCGTCCCATCTCTTCCCACATGCACATTGTTGAAATGACACATTGCTGACAAAGGCATAGACCAGGATGAAAAGACCGAACAAATGTGCTCTGCGCTTGAATTTCGAAGTCTATGTGGTTATAACACTTTTCTATATATACAGTGAAATCCGCAGAACAGTAATTGCATCACAAGCAAATGCAACCCCTTATCATGCAATCATGTCCTAATGATTACTGCAATGCACATTCCAAATCCCTGATGACCTGCCTTCTGGTGACTGCCTCCATGCACGGTATGTCTTGTGAGTGACTATTGCCGTCGAGGTGGTGGTAAAACATGTTGTTGCCACGATGAGACCGCTCCGCCGTTGCTGTGGCTAGATCGGCGACTGGAACTCTCCGGTGCAAAGGCAATACCACTGTCTTCTCGTTCTGCTCGGTCACGATCACGAGGATATTGATCGTTTTCGTAGCCGGGACTGGTGTTTGTTTGCCGATTTGAGTTGCCTCGAGTTTGGCTGGATGCAAGAGTAAGCATGTTCCTTAGTCCCTTCTCCATACACTGAATAATGTTAGCTTCAGAACGAAACAGACTGTGGAAAGATAACTCACAGTTTTCTCGACATGTTCCCATCGTTCCCCCAACCTTTTGGCCAACGGGCTCCACATCTCCTCTCGCATCTCTTTATATGCTACGGCAAGTCTTGCAGTCCGGTCTTCGTCCCATTCATTTCCTCGACGTCTAAGCATTAGCCGCTCATACCGCTTCCGACAAGCGTTGGCTGTCTTGGTTGGGAAATGCTTTTCGTGAATTGCTCCCCATGCCATATTCATGGTCCTCGCTTGCACAAGCACATCGTCATCATGGGTGGACCATGGCCCGCTTTGGCCTTGCTGGAAAGTGGGTGTTGGAGGCGGTTCAGGACGATGACGAGAAGGCGGCTGATGTTGCAATGCTGGTCGTTGGTGTTGCTGTTGTGGGTGATGAGGAGGTTGCTGCTGAGGGTGATGAGGCAGGTAGGGAGAAGGCTGTGACGGATGGTGTGATGTCGGTGGCTCCGGGTTCATCACATCCTGTAAGGGCATCATGTTGTGTTGCATATGATCATAGGAGATTTGCCACTCATGAGGTGCTGCTGCTACCAAGGGCATGTAAACCTGTCCGGGCATGGTGGTGACGGAGGTGGAAACCGAAAGAATATATGGAGCCGATCTTCGTGACGTACGTTCACTAGCGGGCTGCTTGGGCATAACCAAGTGATTTCCACAGCGGGTCGGAAAACGGTGACCAACGGCCAAAACTAATGAGACAGGGCTTGGAATTGGCTACACAGTAGGAACGACAGGAGAAGGGTAAGGGTCGGTACGGCTCGAACAGGCTGGATGATGTGGCAGTGCGAGGCAGAAACAAAAGACGAATGCAAAGGAAAGGATCAGAAGGCTGCTGACTTGGTTCAGAAGAAATCTGAGTGAGTACGATCTGAAGTTGATGCAGGGGCGTAATCTTATAAAAGCCCTTTGGTGCTCGACCGAATGCAAGAATAACATCGAATTGAAACTCTGAGGGCGGCAAATTCATCTTTGTAGACGCGAAGCCTACCTAAATTGAGCCTGGACTGTCAGATCTTCCTACCTGTGCGTCTATCTGAGGGAAAGAATATATAGCCACAGTTTCATGAAATCCCTGCTAGTTGAATTGGATGAATGAGCGTAGAGGAACAACAGCTTAGCCCTCGTGGAAAGTTTCAGAGCGTCAAAAATGCACCAGACGCCGCATACTTGTCCTCTTTGATCAAAAAGCAGCATGTTTAATATTGAGACTGCATGAGGGGCCGAGTTCAGACCAATCAGTGTCCGCCGCTATTCTGGTACCTGGAATCTTTGCGGATAATTGCTGCGGGAAGGTCCGCGAACGTTGACCCTACTGCCATTTGCTCTGTTGATGAAGGATTTTGGGTTTGTCACAGATAAGCTAATCCTGGTGTTGTGTCTGTTTGACCCGGTTTGGACCATGGTCATGGCATCTGTGAGCACAACCTGAAGCCGGGTATTGGAATCTGCCCCAATCCTTGAACAAGTGGGTATCGCGAGTAGTCAGCATGAGCATGCGCATGCGCTGCTGATCGGAGGCTTGGTGGAAGATGAAACCGCAGGGCTAGAGCTTCTGACACAACAGGCGCTGTTGGTCAAGGAGGGCCACCGTTTGGTCCGGGCATGTAATGAACATGGACATGGAGGTTGGCTTTTTGTTCAGAATTAGGGGCTGAATTGAGGTGGGTGTCAGACAAGCGCCGCTCTTTTGATTGGAGCAGATCATTGGGGAACCGGATCTAAAATAGATCACAGACCACACTCTTGTTTTTGACAGACGCTGGATGCCGATCCCAAACAAACAACACGTAGCGGACGGGAAAAGACACTCAGGATAGCCATCACCCATTGTCCAGTGTCCTGGGCGCAGACAGCCGCCCGCTGATTGGGGCACCGAGGCCAGAAGTGACCACAAGGACACTCCAATTGATTATGCGGCTGAGATAGAATCACACGTCAGCAAAATCCATGGGTGTACGCCAAGCATCATCTTACATAAGTCTGCGCCTCAACTCTCCTTATGCAGCACTGCAGATAAACCCAGGCGCTGCTACTATGGAGAGGCGCTGATGGAACAGAGCACAGTGCAGTATTGCTCACAGCGACCATCTCGTGCTGCTCATCGCTCTGGCTTGCATAGTCAGAAGAGATTGGTAAGTAGTACAACTGCCTAAGGCGCACCAGCCTTGCAAGGTCAAGTGCAGGAGAGTGACAGCAGTGGCATGGGCAGAACTGGGATAGCAGCCTCAAAACCCTGGCGTCGGAGTGCGGAACCGATCGATCTACATTTGATGGATGGATGGGGGAGGGCTATGATAGGAATCATGACTCAGTGGCTATCAAGGCCAGCATGATTGTTCTCTCCTTAGCAACAAGGGCCCTTTGGAAAGCAGATCATGGTTATTCATGGCGACGTTGTGTTCCAGTCACGCCATCGCTAGTCTTGATCATACGAGTATGAGAATGGGCGCAGAACCCTGACGGGGAGACGGTGATATGACTGACAGAGGGGTCATCCAAGAGCACAATTGGAAGCAAGGTCAACCATACTGTTCTGCACCTTGGACCGATTATTCAACGAGAACAGGCATGGAACAACCGGATGGGTGCCTCATACCCTATTTAAAAAGTGCCTGACCATGTGGTGGAATAGGGACTTGTATCACACGGCAGAGTTCGGCCACCAGCTTTGTGCATTCTCCCGCATGCGCCCACACCCACACCCTCACAACCCGTCGATCCCGAGTGCCCTCTTTAACAGTGACAAGCAAAGACTCGGCCTGGTAACTTCCAGTGCCAGCTACTCCGGCACTGATATGACAAAAGATTTCTGCGTGAAGCCAGGTATTCGTTGGCATGAGGGTTTTATGGGTCTCGTCCTCATCTGGCTTTCCTCTGAATGAGCAAAGGAAATACCTACAGTAAAACAGGAAGGCTGTTTTACTCTTCCTTCCCAAGTACTCATTTCTCTCAGTTCAGCGGTCTAAATCCCAGCTCACCTCTATTCTGCTGTCATTCTTGCTGCATTCCAGACTCTACTCTTCCATCACGTTGCTTCATCTGATCCAACCTCTCCATTCCATCAGCTCAAACTTTGGGCAACCAGCGTGCCCTCCTTCGTTCTCTACGTAGTGCTCATTGGCATGTCAAGCTGCTTGCGGTTGCCGAGAAAATACGAGGAATAGCATGTTTGTGACTTTTTCATTGATCTTTTTCCACAAGCACTGTTCACGGCATTCTGAAAACAGAGTTTGCGCATTCCTTACTACAAGTGATCAAAGCTCAGATGATTTGCACGTACTACATTCCATTGAAGACCAATATGGTGGAATGCTGTCACTGGAGACACAGATTTTGCTGCACCGAAAGCTATATAATCTGTGTCTCTCACACTCTTGTGCTTGATCGTTACTGACCAATTTTTACCTCATACATTGGGCTTCCAAACTTTATTCTCGGTTTGATCTTCTTACCATTAACAGCATTGACGCCTTAACCAATACAATGTCCAAGTTCCTTGAACTAGAAATTCTGTTCACAGCAGAAAAGTTCTCCCAGATCAACGGTGACTTGGAGTATGACTTGAACGTTGTCCTCTACCGTCTTGGAGGAGCATTCTACAAGGGCTGGTCGCATGTACGATACCGGTCCAAGGAGGAAGTCAAGTTTGCAGACATCTTTGACAGTGTCTTGATACCAGAAGCCCATCTAAGTTGTGCTTTCCCAAAGCATTACACCCGTGCTCCTGATCCGCTTCCACCAAACTGTTATGTCAAAGAAGCTGCTATGCTGCGTTATGACCCAACTAAGCCCACAGCTCTGGGGGATGCGATCCTCAAGGAGGCAACCATCTACGAAAAACTCATGCGTCATCCCCACCCAAACATCAGCAAATATCATGGGTGTCAAGTCAAGAATGGCCGTATTACAGGCCTCTGTTTTGACAGGTACCATGAATCTTTGATGTCAAGAGTCAATCCTGGATCTCATGGCAAACGATGGTTTGACGCTACTCAACGACCTCTAAAAGATATGCATTCATGCATGGAAGGAATCAGAAGCGGTCTTGAACACCTACACTCTCTAGGACTGGTTCACAATGACCTCAATCCAAGCAACGTCATGTTCCCTGCCGCGGACGATGAGACACCAATCATCATTGATTTTGCTTCATGTACACCTATTGGTGGTTCACTTGAAAACGTCGGCAAGACTGTTGAGTGGTCCGATGAGAAGGTACTCACATCACTTCCCAGCAATGACAATGACGCGCTCGAAGAAATCACGGAATGGCTAAGAAATGGGAAGAACTTCAAATTTGAGATGTCGTGCTAGGTCTCTCGCATGGGTTCGCCTTTTGTTTGAAGGCGTCTCGCGAACTTCAGTCTCTTACATACAAAGAGACGTTGGAACACAGCAGGCTGGTCTGAGCGCATCACGTAGAAAAATAAAAAGCCTGTCACGAAGACATTGATCTCTTTCTCGAAATATTTCCTCGCCATCTTAGCATTAGCATCAGCACCTCCACCTCCACCAGTCCAACCCACCCAACCATTCATCAACAAAATGTGCGCCATGACTAGAGGGCCCGATAAGTTCAAGATCTCGGACTGTCACAAAACCTGGTGTTGTCACTCAACAGACTACATAAGACCCATCGTCCGTCGTCCCAAGTCGCAAACTCCCAAGCCTCAAACCCTCAAGCCTCTCGTGCAAAAGCAATGCCCAGAACCCAGCCCCAAGAGGTGAGTTAACGAGCAACATTTTACGAATTTATCTTCACCAACGGAGAAGCAGGGCGCCCTTTTCGTGCTGGCACGATCCGGTGACGACAATCTAGCAGAACAGATAGGCTGCTGGCATGCAAAACAGTCGCTCAGGCACGCAGAGCTGATGCACGTTACACTAGCGTTGGCGGCGCGGCAAGACGAAGCAAAGCTCCCGAAACAGAAAGGAAGAGAGCAAAAGGATGGATCCCCTTTTCATAGCACACATAGATTCTAATGCATCTGGAGTTAAGGAATATTATTATCCTGTATGAGTAACCCATTCATTCATTCACCAGTTCAAGTGCCCTTGTGGTTCCTGTTTTACCTAAAGATCACAATACCCCCTGCCGAAGCCAGACCCGGAAAAAACAGCTTGAAACCAGACTAATGAATTTTGCTCAAAAGAATGAAAGAACCCCGTGATTCACATCCTTGGCCCCTTGACCAGTGTCTCTCTCTCTCTCAGGTCTAGCCAGTGCCTGAAGTGCATCATAGTAATCATTCTAGAGCAGGATGCCTAGAAATTCGAGCTCTTTTTGGTTGGTAGGACCGTTGCGAAAGAGGAAACAAAGAAGGTTCGTCGTGATTAAGGACCTGGACCACACCCTCTTACATCATCGAAAGTAACATCGATTTCCCAGCCCAAGACATGGAGATCGAACCATCTCATGTAAAATGGGGTGAGTGTGTCTTTGAAAATATAAAGATCAAGCCTGCAGAACAATTCAAATATCAGAAACCTGATGTATCGTAGTACTAGTTAGTATGTATTGCCGCCCAAAGTAACGAACAAACGAGCAGAAAAGAGGGGGTGTGAAAGGCATGCCCCTCTGCCCCCTGGTGACAAACCACGAAGGGATAGGTGAGAGACACAGTTACCTTCAATCTACCTCTTCTAGGGTGTGCCATTGTTGTATGGTTAAAAGGAACTAGGCTGTGTCTCTACCAATAACTTACCATGACCATCACTTGGGCTTTCAAGCTGGGCCTTCGGGCCCACCCGTGCGCGGAGCCGCATCGAAACCGGAACAAATCGGGTGGCGTAGCTCTTGGCATGGTACAAAAAGTGACGGAAACCGATGAGGATTACAGAATCCCGGAGTATACTACCGGGTGGCCCCTAAAGTACTGTTATTCAGCGCTAGTATATAGACTTGTAAACCCTTTCTGTACAGAACAGCTATGTTCAAAAGAAGTTAGATGTAATGATTTGACGCATCAGAATAAATAGATGCAAAGGGAACAAATTTTGTACTGACGAATCACAACACTGTGTCCTCGTAACTGATGATAACTAGCTGCTCTTCGCACCAGGCTAACATTACTTCAGGCCCCCGGGTAGTACAGAGTTGTGCACCATAAGTAGTTGAACGCGCTAAATATTGAGGTGAAAAGCTAGTAGCTATAACGGTGGCTAAGGCCTGAGGCCTACATAACTGGCTGGGTGACTTGCGGGCGTGTCTAGACGAGTCTCAGTACAAGAAGACCTTTAATATAAATGGCCATGACTTCAAATGAGGCTTAAGTAGTCCCTAAAGTATACAGAGGCTTTCTTAGTATGATGCACCTACACTACTAGCCACCATAGCCGCTTGCTCGGATTAGTCAGTACTAGCTATATTTGGAAGGCTGTGATATTAGCGCGTGCAACGACTTACTACGGTATGAGGCAGAAGTATTGTTAGCACGAAGCTAGTAACTCAGAGGCGTAATAGGTACTGCTGGACGACATGGTTAGAACAGAATGGGCTAAGCGGTATGGATAGAGATGATTTGTGTGGGTAGGCATAAGAAGTAGCTTCTGGAATTGGGTGTAGAGACGTATTAGAACTAGTTATTCTTAGCACTGTGCTAACAATACTTCTGCCTCATACTGTAGTAGGGTACACGACTTCGTATAGCCTGCCGGAACGCATCACAGAACAGTGACTACCCGGTAGTTATTGACCCATCAATGCAAATCATGCTAAGAGTGATATAGTAGTAAATTATTGTTTCGATGTCAGTACGTCCGCCTTGGCAACCTGTATGCCTAGCAATCACCAGTAGCGGAGGTGCAATCATCCCAAGGAGGATTGTAGCACGAATACTGGCTAGCGTGACTAAGTGACAAGGGAAACAAGCCCCCCAAAATAAGAGACGTAGGAGTAGGTATTGCAGCGTATTGCGAGCATAGGCTTTGGAAAAAATTTATTAGACCTTTTCGGTGGCAGTCTGATCACTTGATCATTAACCTATTCAAACCGCTCATCTCAACATGATTCCAGTCATTCAGGGTTCATCACGCTAAAGTTTTAGACCGGCACGAGGCCCGCACATGTCAAAGTGTCAAGCATCAAACGAGACTCTCCGACTCCCTCGGCGACCTCATCGCCTAGGAGTCCACCGTCTCTCCTCGCGACTCATCTTCGTATACGCGCCATAATAGTCCTCTCCGGCCTCAATCGGCGTGATGGCATACACGGTCGGCTCCTCTCTGAACTGTAACCGTCTACTGCCGCTACTCGCCGCGCTGGATGGCGATGATGAAGTCGATGCTTTCTTGAGGATACTCCTCTGCGAGCTGGTGTTGGCGTAGGCAAAGCTTGGCTGCTGCAGAGTCGAGTAGCCGCGCTGGTTGAGGCGCGTGTTACGGGCGGTGGGGGAGCATGGCGATGGGGAGACAGGCGTTCGGGGTAGGGCGTGGGTAGCCGTCATGGGCGATTTGAGGGAGAGGGATGGTCGGGACGAAGATTGAGCAGCAGTGGAAATGCTGAGGGAGAGTTTGGGCTTAATGGAGCGGGTTGATGATGCAAGCATTTTCGCGGTGATGTGTGGTTTGTCTGTTGTCTGATGAATGATAAGAGGGATTATGTTGCAATGATAGTAATCCGGTTGGGATTGACGATTGGGATAGTTGCTCTTGATCAACAAGGGCAGCGTGGCCAATGTGGGGTAAGGTTCTGTTTTGGAAGAGTGCCTAGGCCAAAAGATTGGTGGAGGAAATGCAGTCGAGCAAGGATGCAGGAATTCGATTGGACCAGCCAATGAGTACGAAAGGTGAACAAACAATTGGGGAGTGGAATTATGGACTGGATGAAACGAGTTGTGTTAGAAGAGGATGGGCATTGGGGAAGTTGAGCGTCTATATACCCGCTGACCAGTATCGTTTGCAGGAGGGGAAACTCTAGGGGTTGAGAACAGGGAGTGATGGGGAGGAGGGCTAACAACTAGCGGGATAGGAAGAGTCGACTTAACCAATCGATAAGGGGCGGGAAGCTTGCTTAACCGCCCAAACGGCCTGGGGTTAGTGGGTCACCTCTGCAAGCACAACCTGCATCCAGTCATGCAATCATCCAATCATGCCAGCCGTCACCACTTGGCTTCTCAACATGATGGAGGCTTATGCAGGTCGCACCTGTAAGATAAGCTGATCTGGGCAAGTGGCTGCAGTCACTTCAATATCACTTGTGATAGCAGCGATGATTCCAAGCCACTGGAGAATACCGGACCTCTTGGGATCGAATCATCTTGCCCCGCAGACCACAGAAAGGCTGTAATCTAAGATCTAAGAAACGATAGAAGAAGAAGCGCCGTCCGGATATCTCTATTTCACGCTTGCGGTTTGCGCACAGTAGTAAAACCTATGAAGGGATGTAGAAGGAGAATAACGGGGTGAGGATGCCCCATGCCGAACCTTTGACATCGCCTCGTTCATTTACGAGATCAGTGATCAAGGAGAAGGCTTGTGTGCTTGTGTGCTTGTGATGACTTTCGGGGTGTCGGGGTGTTTGCACTCACTCCTGCTTCTATGATCACTGATAGGACCAAGAGCGCGGCATGAGGTCGAATATGTGTAGGGGAAGATCCCGCCACCGCGAGTTCGGAATGTCAAAGCCACCGAAATCGGAAGAAGTAGCGCCACATCACGTTTCCGACCTGATTTGTAGCGGATGGCGCCAAGATTTCTGGCGCAAGCACAAGAGGGAAACACGGCGCGGATACACAGCCCTACAAGCTCTTCCTCTCTGGGAAACGTATCGGTTTTGTAGCGAGATGCGCTCAACATGCTTTCAAAATAACGTAGCATGTGCTAGAATGAGCACCAACGGACTAGGATGATCTGTAGTGATGGCCATAAACGCGAGGAGGATATTTCATTCTGAACCGCGGGTTGTGATCGACCCTTTCAGACCACTTGTTGTGGCCGCGAGTAAAATTGCCCGCCGATTCTGTGCCACAGGGCAGACTCATCGAGTTTGGCAGCATTTTAGGGGTTGCGTTGGGCCTCTTTCCATATGTTTGTGGCACCGCTCGCGGCTAGAGCAAGGCCAGCACGCTTTGTGTTGGTGCAGAAGGTTTGGACTTAAGGTAGCTAGATGCTGAAGAAGTTTCTGCATTCAAGTTCCGTGTTGGAGGAAGCCCTTTGCGGCACTGAGGACTTGTGCCACGGCATATCGGAGACGTGATTGTAAAACTTCCACATGGATGCATATTTCCAATAGATGTCCTGAATGGAGCACGCCGAAGGTCTATCGTTAGCATGAGCTCTATGCCCATAAGTTTCGGATGCTCATAGGCCGCCTTTACGGATCGCAATTGTGGTTTTCCTGAAAGTACAACGCTTTTGGTGGACTGTGTCATGTCCTTCATCTTTTGCCGACTCAAAGATGCTCGTAGAAAAGTAATATGATCCAGCCTCAGCTGCAGGCAGATCCAACTAACATACAGTCTTGAACTAGGATGCGCTCTCTGGACTCTCTCGACCAAGACTACCGTTTGGGTACCCGCCGTCACCATGGCAGCCTTTCTCATGCCGCTTCATGTTGCTCCTGACGCTGAACGTCTTCCCACAGCCTGGAACTTGGCACTTCCACGGTTTTTCACCTGTGTGAGAATATGTGTGTATTTTCAAGGAACTGGGCCTGGAGAACGCTTTGTTGCACGTGCCGCAGATATATCTGTCTTGATTGGGCGGATAAGGGGTGGATGCAGAGTGCGGAAAGTGATGATGATGCTGCCAAGCAGGAGTCGCATGAGAGATGTATTGTCCAGCGGGCTCATCGTAAGAGGACATGGGCGGGAAGTTTGAGGGCAAAGCACGTTGATACGCCGAACCGTGGTTGTTGGAGCCATCGATGGGGGAGCTCTGGTATGATGATACGGAACCATTGCTGGGGGAACCGTAGGAGGAAGCAGTGTATGGTGAGAGCGGTCCTTGCAACACTCGTACCGGTCGATCCTGAGGGACGGGCGGGTAATCCATCTGACGTCGCGAATGCGCCTCCACGTCTTTGATTGCGGAAGCAGGGGCTCGCCTCTCACTGCCAGAAGTGGCGGATGCAGGGGAGTGCGATGGGTTTGTTGCAGGCGACTGATGATGACAGGTGTCAGATCCCGTCCTTGGGCGTAAAGGAGGGGTCGGTGGCAAAGGACTTGTGGGATTGCTCACGATCGGGGACCTCTCCTGACTCTGGGCCAACAACTGTGGATCAACCACAACCTTTTGAAGCCTGGGATCGATTTGCAACCTCTCTGCAAATGCGTTGTCAGTCTTGAGAAGAGAACGCGCGCAGATGACTCAAATACCTCTGCCTGTTCCCTCATCCGCCGCTTCGATCAAGGTAGATATTGAAGGCAGAGAAAACCTTGCCGAGCTCGGATCATCCATGGGTGGTGATGGTGGTCTTTGAACACGTCGAGTGTACGAATACTCGCGCGACGCCGGCCTTGAATACCTTGCTGACATGCTGCAAACACCACGAGCCCGTTGATGCAGTGCGTAGTTCTTTTAAGCGGCTGATCCAAGGGATCATTCCAAGGTGCTTCTGCTCGTGTCCTGGCCAGAAAAGGATGCTCACAACAAATCACAAATGCTACACCACGGGTCTTGAAGGCAGCGATGGGCTAAGAAGGCCGAGGGTGTGGACACTGTAAAGAGAGCTGGGAGATGCAAGGCCCTGGGCAGCATGGCAATAACAAGGATCCGACTGAGGTTCGATGGATGGGATGGAATAACAAGAATCGATCTTAGGGAATTTGATCGACGTGATCGACGACACTTGCAAACCGAGAACCAAGATGGGAAGGTGGAAACTGACATAGTGGTAGCCTTTTTGGGTGCAGGGGCTCTCGATCCACATGATGCTGGAAGGTGAGACGAAGGAGGGGAATCACTGTTGACTTACTATGGTACAGACTAGCATTGAATCCTCTGGAGCTTGTGGAGACCGGGAAGGCGCCACACACATACACACGCACTCGCTCGTTCTTCTCACACAAGCAAGTCGGCTGGATTCAGCAGGCGGGATAGTAGCTGGATGACGAAAGTGGGTCGAGTTTGGAGTGATAGCTGGATAATGGATAGTGGATAGAGCATAGTGGATAGGATAGTGGATGCTGGATGCTGGATGCTGGGTCCTACTACATAGTGCGTAGTACGTACTCGAGCACTAAGCTCCCAGTAGCACTAAGCTCCCAGTAGCACTAAGCTCCCAGTAGCACTGACGTTAGTCACGAGCAGTTAGCGCAGTCCCCGAAATTAGCTGCCTGTTTACTACGTTAACGCTCCTTCTGCCAGAAGGTTAAATTGATCGAGCACTCGGAGGAGCTTGGGTGCTGGTGTTGGCGAGGCGAATCCCTGCCTAGTCATCCTTGGGCCTCGTCCCGACACCGTCCTGTCTAGCCGAATGCCAGTCAGAAAAGTATAAATGGGGCTGAGCTAATGGAAAAAAGTAAGACGAGTTCGGAAGACCAGGTTCTCCTCCGGAACCCCCAAGGCCACCGGGACCAACAGTGAACCGGCCCTACAAACACACGTCACTAGACAAGGGCATTTGTAGAAAGTACATAGTACGTAGTACCCCGTCTTTGTAACAAAGTGGTGGACTTGTGGCGTGCCGCTATGCTTTGTCCTGCATATCCAGAGACTGGCCAGTCGAGACAGGCGCAATTGGAATCAACCACATCAGAGTCCAGAGCAGAATTCCCAACAGCATTGGGCGAGCTTGGATGCGGGTTTCTAAAATCAGGCGACAGATGGACGCGCTAAAGCAAGAGGCTTGTTCGCGAACAATCATCTCATGGCAGTAATGTGGATGATAACTCCCGCGGTTCATTCATGATTTGGCAACGCCTCCTGAGAGTCTCTGGCAGCAAAAGGCAACAAATTGGTCATGACGGCTTCTCTAAACCGGACCAGTCATCGTCCACGTCTGTAGCTATGGAAGCCAAAGATGCATGCAGAGATGTCGCTGCTGCTTCATATGATGCAACCAGTTTCCCTTTCTGCTCATGCATAACCTCTGGTTGCGCCCTGGGCTATGCGGCAGGGTCCGTAAGTACTACTTATCCGACAGCTGTCAGCCTCTCAATGCCCGGGCGTCTGCATAGCACAGAGGTCTGATAGTGACAGATGTGGAAGAGAACAGACGTTGAAACGCAACGCCGCTGTCAATCCTACTGCCAAATGCTTAGCCGTAGTGATCGTTGTGTCATAATGCCATGCTATGCCATGCCATGCCATGCCATGCCATGCAATCAAACCATATCATGCAAACCCTCATAAATGCTAGGGAATGCTGGCGTTGGTATGCACGGGGTTTGATAGCCTGATCTGGCACCACGAAGGACGAGAAAAATTCTGCTGTGCGAGTTCATCAACGAGGAAATGAAGAGTCGATCGCTGCGTCTATCATTGGAAGACGTTAAATGTATGCGCATGGAAGACCAAACTTTCCCCAAGAGACGATCTAGCGGTGCATCACCGAGCTAATCACATCCTGCTTTGCGGGGGATCGCGAGGCCTAGCGACATTAAGTTTCTGTGCACCTGGACATCTGCTTGGCAACACAGATTCCTTTCCATCTCATGCTGATTGTGCAACGCTAGAAACTCTCTGGTGAACAGCCATGCCATGTATGAGCGGCCCTTTCAAGAGCTACCGCTTGACTTGCAACGGCAGTATACCCATAGACGCTCGAACGGGTTCGAAGAACCAGCCCTCACCTTCTCACAGCAGCTTCGAGGAGTCTAGACCCATGACTTATAAGGGTGAGCCAAGCATGCCGGTGCGCCCATTCTTGATCGAATCAGTGCGAGGCAGCCAGGATCAATTGTTTTAATTATTAAGCCACGATGCCCAGCTCGCCTGCAGACGGAACCGAAACATGTGTCACGATAAGTTTGTTCATGATCGTGATGGTCCAACGCCGAAAAGTCGGCAGCAATACATTGTTCCGTAGTGACTATCGGTGCCGCACCTGCAGTTTTGTTTAGAGCATTAGCAATACGAAGAGATGTGAGGGGAAAAATGCTGGACTGCCTTAGTAAGTCGGCCTTAGAGAAGCTGAACATTATTACGCACTTAGTAACTTGACTTCATGGCTCGTGCCGATTGTGCGTACCCTGTGCAGCAAGAAACTTGGTCGAGGAAATTAGAGGGCCTGAAAAATCTTTTTCTGTGGCCGTGATGCGTGCGCAGGAATCTTGTCCAATACATCCTCAGAAGGCAGTAAACTTGCTCATTCCCATGAGCCCGCATACAGTACTCCCACACTGTGCTCCTGGTTAAGTATCTTACGCTCCAGTAGTCCATAAATTCCCTAACTGATATCCCTCGAGGAGCGAGAGGAGAACGACGACAGGTACTAGTACCTGGAGACTTGACGCTATTGGGTGGATTCAAGGGAACTGTGCAGATCGCGGTGACAGATTATGCATCTTCGGAAGGACGGTGAAGCTACCTGCAAAACCTTCGGGCTATTGGGCGAACAGCAGATTCCGGAAATGATGAAACAACAATTCCCGAGCCCTCAGAGTGTGATTGGTGAGATGGTAATGATTAATCTCTAGCAGGCTGCAGAAGTCTGACAAGCCTTGATCTGCAGGCAATGCCCTCACGCAGGACATGGAGAAGCAGGTACTCGGACGACAGTACCAAATTGTTGTCCTCCAGAGGACATCATGATTCATCGACACATCAGGTCGATCCTTGTCCCACCGCATGAAGCAGGATGGCTTGAGCGCTGATGTTTGACGTTCCTTTTCGCATCTCTGACGTCTCATGGACCATACTAGGAAGAGTCTAAGATTGCCACCGTGTTGCCTCGAGCACGATAGCTCTGTACACAAATGAGGAGCTGGCCATGGCGGGATCATCGACAGGGATTAGCCGCAAAGATGAGACCTTTTTTGATCACAGAGCAGAATCTAGCTTCAAGTTAGCGAGCATCGACCTAGCAAGCATCAATCTAAGTTAGGGAAAAAGCGGAAAGGGCATGCACGAGGTGCGGCTGTCGATCTTCTGAGCTGCCGGGCTGTCATAGTGTGGACTTTACTAGTATTTTCTTCCCACATGGCAAATCACGTGCCCTTCCAGGAGAGCGCATAGGATCACCGGCTAAGAGCCATTTTCTCACTGTCAGTATCTTGACGTCCAGAAGACTGTTTGAATGTGAGGAAAGGGCCATCGCCGGTGCAGAGCATGGAGCGCAAGATCTGATGTTGCCCCATGTCACACAGCACGGATCACCTGGTTTTCCTCACACGAGCTCCTGACCCAGCAGCCGAAGTTACGGTAGATTAAGTTAAACCAAGATTTTCCCAAGCCCGGTTCTTCCCAGCATGTGTGGCTAGCAGCACTACTACGCAGTAGGATATGCACTTGTCAGCCACAGCGGCAGCGCTTGCAGTACGCAGTGCAGTGCGCAGTACACAGTACACTGAAAGACGGCTAACGACACTACTGCATGATAGAGACCCTAGAGCCCCTAAACACGCCAAAGCTGATGAGGCAGCATCTCCGTCGCTTTGCCAAGGCCCCCATCCCTAACGCCTACTAGTAGGATGTACTACTAGTCCTGCAGTCAATGGTAAATTCAAGATTAAATAGGCGACACCAATCATCACACATCGGAACCGTTATTTCGTAAGCAGAAGAACAAAGTACAGCAGCGCGTTGCCAGAATGCAAATCAATTCAAACACTGCAGGGATCAACGATCGCTGTTTGAGAAGCTACTAACACAGTACAGTAAGCGAGAAAAACTCCTCACCTGCAGGAGGTGGAAAGTGGTCTTCACTTAGTCCTCCTACAGGACACTCAACTCCTCTGCGCCGTTCTATGACAAACCGGATTTTTGAGGATGGAACTCGAATCTCTTGAAAAGTGAAACCCAAATGCACAGTGCTTCATTGCAGATAGACGCCAGACTACCTCCCTTATGCATGGGACACATCAGTCCATCAGCAACTTAACACCGCTGCATAATGCTATTACCAAGTGGCCATCTATATCGCACTAATGATCAACCTGAGCACTGTGCAAGGAGTGTTCGAGGCAGGCAACCAGCAGATTGCCATTAGTTGGTTCAACGTATTCGTGATATTGTGAGTTCAACCAGATCGTCAAGGCGCTGCGTTAGGCAGAACCTTGCCACGCAGTAACAGCGCAGCGCGCGTCAGGACCTTCCTGACTCTGGGCGTCCCCGTCCAGTCCATCTCCCTGATCTTGCTCCGGTTCCGTTGTTCGAGACTTTGTTCGGATCGTATTCAGACCCCCACTGATGCACCTCAGAGACCAGCTTCCTCTTGCTTTGCACTTGTTTTGTTCCTTGCATCTACCTTACTTTCCTGTATCTTACCGAAGCCGGTAGAGCTCACGCTCCTTCGATTGCGTTGTTTCTCCCCTAGAACTTCCGGAGTGTTCGTCCTGGTATGGAACGGTGGGGTGGCAGTTCTTGAAGGTGTTCGGTCCATCAAGCTGTGAGCGCGAGACCTTGCCGTGGTGTCTCGGATGCTCGCATCACTCATCCGGGAATGAAGAACTGGATATATTCGTTCTTCGTTGTAAAGATCCTGCTGCAGATCTCTGCTGCTCCAACTAGCACGATGTCGTCTTGCTCCGTATGGCAGGTTAGACACGCTCGTTTGAGACCTGATAGAATGCGCGCAGCTTTGATGCCTGCTAGTCATGATCCCTTGCGATAACGACGTCTTTGATTCGTTGACGTCTTCGAGGTCAACATCATTGTCGTCATCTTCGATCTTGGGTTGACGGCGGACTGAACCAACTTTGAAATACGGCTCCGTTGGTTCGGTGGGCATCGGTAGTGGCGAAGGTGGTTGTGACGGAGGTGCTGGCTGGTCTGAGGATGTCTGCTCGATATGGGCGAAGTATCGGGTCCGGAGGCCTGCCCATTTCTTCGGCTTGAACTCAGTCCGATTGCGCGTCAACGACATGTAACTAGAAATGGCTCCCAGCACGATGGCAACCAACAGCAAGATTGTCAATATGCCTTGAATGACAATGATAACAATCCCGATGATGGTGGTTGGAATTCGCTGTAGATTGAACCTTGTATCAAATGCCGACGAAAGAGCCACAGTTGCGACTTTACTGAAGCCAAGAACGTAGACCATCAGCAGATTGAGCCGCCTACCTTCAAAAGGCTTCAGAAAAATAATGGCAACGAAGGCAATAAACTCAACCACTAGCAAGCCGAAGACCTGTGTCAACGCATGTCCCGCGGCTCCACCGTAGAAACATGCCCGGATGAATTCATAGAGTAGCCACAAAGCGAAGAACCACCACTTGCTCTGTCGGAAACGAGAAGCCAGCCAGCCAAATTTTCTTGCGTAGTCCTCGTCCTCGTGAATTGAAGGTCTATCAGGTGTGTCGCTGACAAAACGAATTCTCCACCAGGGCAGCGAGCGGGTAAAGACTTTTTTCTTATCCTTTTCTTTGAGAGTACTCTCTCGCATCACACCGAACCAGGGAATGATGCCGAGTGTCTTCTTTCGTTGCACGTTCAATCTGTCCGCCTCGGAGGCATATTTGCCAGACCGAAGACGATAGTATACAGCATATGCTGTGGCGCCAGCCATGCCCACAAAGAAAAGCACAAAGACAATGGCCGCAATTGCCAGCACTCTGGCACTACCACCCAAGGTAAATTGAAACATGGTCAGAAACATGAACATGAAAAAGGAGATGAGAAGTGTGCGCTGAAGGGAGGCAAACAGAAAATTGAGCCAATTGGCCCTGAAGTATGCCAAACGAGGTGTCTTCAACATCCGCAGACGATCGAGGCCCTCGACAACACATTTGGCAGCAAAGACGCCGGCAGCAACACATAGGAGCAGTACCAGGAACCAGAGGAATGCCGTCATGAACGCGTTTGATGCTGGGATGTCCTCCGCGGCAACCGTTCCTGCAAAGCCTGAGAAATTTCCCGGAAGTGGCAGGCCAGGCCTGACTGGCCTACCGTACCAGGAGAACCCACTCGTGGAGTTGAGAAGCTCTCGTCTGGCCAGGGTATGCTCAAAACTCCTCGGTCGTAACATTTGGCCAATGCCTTCGAAGGTCTGGAAGGGAATGGCAGTAGCTCTCTTGTAAATCTGAGAGATTTGGTATCCACCTCCCAAATTGTCATTGGCAACACCTGACGCTGCAGCCCCCACCATACTGATGTTTCCCCGATTCTCGCCTAGGAATTGATTGATAGAATTTTGCATAGAGCTGCTAAATATCATGCCAGCCGACCAAGCATAATTGCTCCAGAAGGCAACTAGGACACTAGGCCAGTTGACAGATAGTGCTCCGGTGAAGAAGATGTGGTGGAAAACAGCAAATACTACAAAGACCGACAGCGAATGAGCGTAATGTTTCCGTGTCTCTGGTACACCATCACCATACACAGTGGTTGCGATAGATGAGATGACGGCAATCAGAGCGAATATTCCCAATACCGTCCCGACAGCTACAGGATGGGAAAATGTGGCCCCATTTGTCACAACGGCAGAGTAACAGCCAATCTGCGACTGCGTAGAATTGGCAAATATTCGGAGAATGGCTTGGCCTTCGAAATCCGGAATTGTGAGAGCGAGCGGAGGGATGCCAGAGACATCAGCCTGAGATATAGGGATGATGCCATTTGCTTCAATTGGCACACTGGCGTTGAGTGGACAGAGGCTGTAGATATTGGCATTGCATGGGTTAAATGTCAGGTCAAAGCGAGGTTCGCCATACGCATACACCCCGATATACACTATTTGTGACGGTCAGCAGCTAGGCAAGTACTGCATGGATCTCACTCACACATCAGGCTCTCGTTTGTCAAAGCAGTATTTCCTGCAAGATGGAAAAGAATGGTCATGTTGTCTCTATAGTATGCGGCGTCGAATCTTGTGACATTGATCAAGGAGTCCCCTTGACAATCTCCAAAGTTCTGTGTATAGAGTGCAGGTCTCCTATTGTCCTCTAAATAAATCCTGTCGCCGTTGGCATCGGTAGCCGTGATGTATTTTTTCTCTGTAGATGCTGCCGAAGACAGGCTCGAGAAGTAGAGGAACGAGATAAGTAGAACCAGAATGCCAGAGCATGTCTGCAAATGGAACATTCGTGGTCTAGTCATGATGGTAACCTTTACCACCTGACTTAAGGACTTGAGCGAGACTATCCGCCTCCAGGTTGTGAGAGCGTTGATGAGGGTGATTCTTCCTGTTTTCGAAACCAAAGTGACGCTCGCTCACGTCGAATTTGTAGCGTTATTAGTAGACTAGCCTCCACAGAGGTGAGCCCGGAGCTTGGGATACCCGCAATCCTCAGTATGTGGTGGATTAGTAGTGGCTCATAATTTGCCCGAACGCTTTCTTAAACGAGTGTTAAAGGATTTCGGCCAAGATCGATTCAAGTCAACTCAAGACAGGCAGTCGCGTCATCGGATACCCGTTCGTCAGGCAAGCGAGAGGAGGCTCATAGTGATGAGGCGCAGGTAGCAGTTGGCGAGTTATTATTTTCGTCTCGATTATTTGAGAAAACTGTGGTATTTGGATGAACGAGGGTCCTGATATTAAGAAATTAAGAGAGGGAGTGTGGCCGAGCTGGTGGTGGTGGGCGACGTTTTGCAGAGAGCGGCAGGTGGGATTTTTGGATGGTTCTTAGCGGTGGAGGTGCTCTGGGCACAGCTGCCGGATACCGAGAGCTGAAAAAATGAACTGAATTGGGTGTCAGGGCTCTGCTGCTTCCAAAGCTTTACCAGCACTTCACTGCAACACGAAGCTTACTTTTTGCTCAAGCATAACTACACCCAAGGAGGACGTATTGTAAGGCACAGACAGGAGTGAAAAGATCCCGCGGCTGTCCGCTGGAATGTAACATGTACCGCTAGAAAAACTTGAATCTTAATTTTAGGTAAATGCTGCCCTCCCAATTGTTGAAGAATCTGTTCTGTCAAGTCGCAAAGCTCATTGTGGCCTAGATTACCGTGCTACCCAAATTATCTTGGACAATTCTGGACACAGTGTCACCGCAAGTGGGCAGCGGGCCCACACCCAAACTATCGATTTTGGAGTTCTTATGCGGCACTCCTCGTTAAGCTTAGGGCTATCTCTTTAATTAAACTCCGCCATCGAAGAACCTTTCATATCATTAGCAAAATCGGTGTTGGCCTCACATATCATCACCACCATTAACGCACCTCATTGACAACCTTTCCGAACTATTTTCGTACGGAAGGACGATACAGAAGTACTTCGATTCTACGTATCATGAATAATATCCATAGGTCTCACGACTTGGCTCAGAAATGCCCTTGGAACAAGCCGACGAGGCGCCGCTACTTGTAACCATATCGTACTACTTCATGCCCGGGCGATCATCATCAAGCGCCAAGCTCCACGAACTCACCTACTACTTACCAGGAGAAGGGCTCTGAAAATGATGCGGTACTGGTCCTCAGTGATTTTGCAGACATTTTATTATTCTAAGAATCGTCAGGAGGCTCAAATGACCGTACTTTAGCCATAATTTGATCGTCATTTTCGTAAAATGACGTCCGAAATAACATAATTTTATTGGACTCCAGATGCTTAGCTGCATAATCTAATCTAAATTAGATCATACCACAATTAAGCCGAAACTAAGCACACATTGATGGTAATTTAGGCATATTTTTCGGAGTGCCTGCTCCTACTCTACTACTAGTAGCACTCCATGCCGTTCCATCCTTATCACACTCATGGCAGTTCGAGGACAAAGTACGCAAGCAATTCTTGCATCAGAACATGAAGCTGGCTTCGTTGGTAGACGTATACGTGGATGCTGGAGGCAGCGCTTGCAATCCGGACAGATCCTTTCCCCTAGCAAGGAAATTGGCTGCATGATCACCGCGATGACGACTTTGTCCATTGCAAATCTTGTGTACTACGTAGTACACTACTAGCGAGCACCGATCTACATTGGGCGCTTGCATCGAATTTAGGCTCTTTTGAGACACTTGTGGTTTGAGCCAATATCCAATCATATCCCTCTGCCGTGTCGGGCGGATCGTATCCTATTCGCCTACACAGAACTCACAGCCAGCCTGGACATGCCAACCCGTACCAGCTGATGACGCCGCCCATGTGTATTCGACATCTCTTGAACTTACCTGGCAAACAGGCGACCATTCGATCCTCAAGGGAGACTCTATCCTGCACCATGATTCCCATCCTTACGTAGTGAACAGAGTGCGTATTTCTCGTGAGCGTACGTGGCTTTTCCACTTCCGCTCAAACCTCAATACAGCCAGCCAGCCAGCCAGCCAGCCAGCAAGCTCCATGACAGGAACAGACTCCTGGAGAAAAAATGTCATTTGTGGTGTACCGCTTCCTATTGAGATGAAAAGAGCGTCGCATTGTGAAACCAACCAATGACTCTCATGGCGACCAGCAGCGCATCACCACGTGTACCTATGCCAGGAGTATGGGTTCCAGCTGTGACTTTCTTTAATCCTACCACCGACGAGATAGACCTTGAGGCACAGGCCAAGTATTACCAATATCTCTCGCGAACTGGCTTGACTGGTTTAGTAGTCCTAGGAACCAACGCAGAGACACTGCTTCTGACACGCGAAGAACGAGCTGCGTTGCTGCGAACAGCTCGATCAGCAGTAGGATCCTTTCCCATTATTGCAGGTGTCAGTGGTCATTCTACGAAGCAAGTCTTGGAGTATATCTCCGATGCATACGAAGCTGGTGCCAATTATGTTCTGGTTCTTCCAGCAGCATACTTTGGCAAGCAGACTACGCCATCGGTCATCATGAGGTTTTACGACATAGTTGCGGTGCAGTCTCCTTTACCCATAGTCATCTACAATTTTCCGGCAGTCTGCAACGGTGTTGATCTGGATTCGGAGACGATCATTGCCCTCGCCGAGGAGCACTCCAATATTGTAGGAGCCAAGCTTACGTGTGCCTCTGTGGGGAAACTCACACGAATCGCAGCACACTTGACTCCTCAAAGGTTCTCAGTCTTTGGTGGACAGTCAGATTTTCTTGTTGGTGGCTTAAGTGTTGGCTCTGCTGGCTGTATCGCTGCATTTGCCAACATATTCCCAAAAACACTAACCAGGATATATGACTTATATACCTCGGGTCAGACCACCAAGGCACTGGAGCTACAGCGAATCGCTGCCAAGGCTGAAGGTTCGTGCAAAGCTGGAGTCGCAGTGACGAAGTACGGCGTTGCCATCTTCTCTGCGAAAGCTGCCGGGATCAGCGATGCAGAGGAATTGCTGCAGCCTCGGAGTCCGTATGAAGCTCCTTCCGAGGCTGCAAAGCAAGCAATACGGGAAGCGTTGATGACACTGAACGCAGTTGAGGTCAACCTGTAGAATTGGCGACTCGTATAGCTATCTCTGAATCCGCTCGTGATTGTACCGGCTATCTGAGACGAAGGCCTGGAAAGCCGAAGAGAGATGTGCCATGGTGGGCCAACTCGTTGTACACTATGCTTGGAGTTTCTCATCGTTCTGAACAATCTTTGAAGCAGTCTCTGGATATTTGATCATTTGCACATTGACCCTGCTGCCTTCTCCGCCATATTTCTCAAGGTTGAACACGAATCTATCCACTTCTTCAAATCCAGATTTCTGATACACCGGAAGGCCAGCAGGTGATGCCTCTAGAAAACTGGGTACTCCATGCTTCTGTGCGATATCACAACCCCATTGGATTAGCATCGTTCCTGCTCCACGCCGCTGATGCTGAGGATCTGTGCACAGCGTACTGAGAACTGTGAATAGGCTTATCAGGAGTGAAATTGCCACCTTTTTAGAAAAGCTTACAGCAATGAGGATTCCTGCCCAGAATTCTTGCACGAATCTTCAGCAAGCCTCCAAAGAATTCATTGCAAGCTGCCTCATTACTTCCAGGCATATTGTGGCGCTCGTTCGGGTCCGTTTTGATGAACCTCACATCATCACCAATAAAAATATACCAGCGTGCGAAGGCGATTATCTCGCCGTCGAGGTCAGTGTCAATGACCTTGATTGTCCGGCTGGCAGAATTGTCCTGCCACTGCTGTAAAAGGTTCTCAACATAGGTATCTTGTGAATCCTGGGACTTTCCGCCTGGAAATAGGATTGGAGTGAGGGGACTGTCAGCGAAGGCCTCGTCCTCAAGCTGAACAATGCGAGGAATATCTCCTGGCTCTGCTGTCAGGAGTTTGAGGGGCATTGCAAGGAATACAATACAAAAAGTGCCGTAGACCAAAATTTACCAGAGTGCTCTCCTTGCACACCAGACTATGAATATGCCGATGCGGAATTCTACAACGAACTTGCTGAAACTCTCAGGTAAGGGAAAGATGACTTCCGGTTACTTAAATCTCCATGACGGGTAGAGCCTAGATGCCTGAAAGAACACGTTGATGGGAACTAGTTCAGCTCGAGCAGACACTTGCATGAGAGGTCATGGTACGTATGAACCTGGTTAGAGTTTGTCAGCAAGATGCTTGCGATTTGTTGCTATGCTCAAGGGGTTGTTGAACCGTACACATGATGTCGCCCGAATGCTGATTTGAAAGGATGGTATGCTCTCCTCCGATTGAACTTTTCGTTGGAAAACGTTTGTATTGTGACTGTGTTATGTCCCTCTGCCAAACATTGGCAAGTGACTTTCCAATGGAAGATTTATTCTGGGCGTCATTCCCACTCTCCATAGCGAGTAAGCAAATTGAGATCCCGGCGTGGTTTCTTCCCTGCCAAGCAGTCTTCCATCACCATAAGTATGTTGTATGAAGCCCTCCAATTCGTCATTCATCTCACCTCTCTTATCACAATCGCACAGTCTTTCCTATCCAGTGACAGATTCTGCATTATACTTTCCTCTCGCCTGGCCTCGAATAGGTCGTCTGTCTATGGCATCCCAATTCAAACTGTCTATCAACGTTTCTGCGGTAAAAATTACACCCTGCACAACCGGGAACGATGGAACCTGTTCCACTATCTCGGAGGCAATGGCCCGTGGATCGAGAAGTCCAATGCAAGATTCGGCACTTATGAGATGGAAGGAAAACCGTCTAAAGGTTGTATAGTAGACCAGGTACATATGGTATGAGGCATTGGACATCTTGCGGTGTCACGGTATCTTTACAGCTGAGGAGAGAGCTGCCGATGATGATGATGATTCCACTGGGGAGACTTGCTGATCGGTCCGCCAGCTTTCCCGACATGCCGAAAGATATCCAACCAAGAATGCTGGCGCTCGTATGGATCCCATCACAGGAGCTATCAACTCCGGCACACATGATTTCGACAAAGCACTGACAGAACACATCTTCAACAGGCCACCTAGCCCTTCTTTCCCGCCTAGAATCGTATACCCTAAACGGCTCGCTCTCCTTCCTTAACAACGGTGACTGGACCTATTTCACACCTCCTACATATCCCTCTTTTGAAAACCTGACCACGACCTCCCCATACGCTGGCACCCTCTCAGCCTTCACCCTAGGCACCAAACTTCGCACCCGCTACCCCCATCTCTTACCCTCCCAATCCTCGACCGAACCACAAGACACCCCCATAAATTTCTGGTCAGCATCCACCCCTCGTGACATCGAAACAGCCCTCTATTTCGCCGATGGGCTCTTCGGCCGCGACTGGTCAGGATCAGGGACCTCTCCCAACAGCACCGTCCTCCCAACTGCCCGCCTCCACATAATCCCCGAGCATCTCTCCCAAGGTGGCAACACCCTGACTCCGGGCCGAAGCTGCCCAAACTATATCACCGACGAGATCCAAGGCCGTGACAAAGGCTACAGCAAACTCGCAGAATGGCAAGCGATTTTCAGCAAGCCCATCGCTGAACGGCTTTCTGCTGAAAACCCCGGCCTGATTGACCCTTCCGCTCTAGCTTCCAGTACAGGATTCACCCCAGTAGAAATATACAGCATGATGGAGATGTGCGGCTTTGAGATCCTAGCACGCGGGTCCGACTCAGACTCGGAACTGCGCCCCAGCTCCAGCTTCAGCTCCAGCTCCAGCTCCGAATTCAGCAGCCCCTGGTGCGGCCTCTTCACCCGCTCCGAATGGGAGGACTTTGCATACGCGCGGGATCTACTGCATTTCTATCGTGCGGGGCCCGGGAATCAGTTTAGCGGCGTGATGGGTAGTTTATGGCTAGATGCCGTTTCGAGATTACTCGTTCAGGATTCGAAGGCTACCAAGGGCGGAGGTGGAAGCGGTGAGATCTACGCCAGTTTCGTGCATGATGGCGATATAGTGCCTGTGCTTGCTGCGCTGGGGGTTTTTGACGAGGATGACAACGAAGATGGAGCCGGCGGGGAGGAACAGGTCATGCCCACCGACCGTGTGAAGCGGGAGAGGAATTGGAGAACCGGTGATCTCGTCCCCATGGCGGGACGGATCATCATCGAGCGGCTCAACTGCCGGACCCCGCACGGTTGGCGGTATAGGGATGTCAGGCTGTGGATCAACGATGGCTGGGTTGGCTGGGTGGTGGATGGGAGGACGGCGGAGGAGAAGAGGCGGCTGAAACGTGAGAGGAAGGTGTATATACCGCAGATGGAGGTGGGGAGGTTTAGGGACATGGTCAAGGGTATGAAGGAGAAGTTTGGAAGGTTTGGCGAGGCTTGTGGGTTGCCCGGGGGGATGGAGGAGAGCATTAAGTTCTTGCATCAGTGATGCTCATGGATCAAGGGAGCTTAGGGACGGGGGTTGTAGATCCATGTTAGCATACAGTACTTTGACACATCTGAGAAGTGACATATTGGATGGCCTGGGGTGTCTATGCCTGTACCATGCTCACTTCCTTGCTGTGTAGGTGTGCGAAAGCCCAGTCAAGCTTTACTTCTGTAGCGATGGGCTGATCTACTCTGGCTCTGATCCTTGGGTAAATGCAGATTCCCACCAGGTCGCTTTCCCTCCCTCCCTCTCTCTTTCTCTCTCTCAATTCAACTCTTTCGAACCAATATTTCAAGCACAGGGTGTTCTTGATTAAAATTTCCTTCCAGCCTCTCTTCAAGATTTTTCTTATTTACCTATTCGCGTACGCCGGTAGTAGATTGGGTATACGCTGGAAGTCACAAGCGTACTCTGTTTCATTGCGCAGCAGAATAAGGCAGGAGTCCTTCAATTGCCAGGAATCTACCCAACAGTGGTCACGAACGCATCGACCTGTAATCTTCTGGAATTCTTCCTTTTTGTAATCGATCCCGACCAAAGACTATCAACAGCCGGCCTTTCAATATCATCCCTCATTTTTTCAGAATGCCGTCATTGCCACGTCTTGTTGCATCAACCTTCAGTAGGGTTAATACATTAAATACCACCTCATCGAAAAGCGGGCAGTCATGGCTGCTTGTCCGGCTGACCAGGATCCGGTGTTTCGGCACTTCGCTTATCCCGCTTCTCCTTGACCAGTGGAGAACTTGGCATAAGACATATTAGGCAACGGCGTCGACCGGCTTGTTCGCCGTCGGCAAGATATTTTGGTTGGATGCCTCTCTCGTCGAAATCGAAGTAGGCGCTGCGTAGTCTGTAGCATTGGAAACAGCCTATTTTCTCGTTCCGGATGCGGGAAGGGTCCGGGATGGCGTCCTCCCTTCGATAGAGAGCCGCTACCACCTTTTCGCGACTGACTATAGAATGGAAATGCTTGCTTGTTGCTCCGAGCTTGAGGAGGCAGTCGTAGTCCAGGTGGTCGAAGACCATCATGTAGAGTTCTGGGGGAATGTCGAGAAATGGGGTGGATGGCGGCATGGGGGCAGTGCAAGATATGGCTTCGTTGGACGAATTGCAGCTGGTGGTAGTGGAACTTGAATTCATTTTCAGCGTGGAGACGTTCTTCGACCTTGAAGTTGCCTTTCTCCTCGCTGAGCGCCAGATGCGACCAAAGAACCTCAATCTTGCAGGTTTTAGAGTCATTAAGAAGGCAAAAGTAATATGACTTTGATCTTCAAGGCTTGAAGTCAAACATGAAATTGATATAGAGCCAGGAGTTTTGAGGACCAGAGCGATCAGGCTGAACTTCCTCACGTAAAAAGGTAGGGTCCTCGTAACAAATATCTCCAGCAAGTAGTGATAATGCGGTCTTAGGTCCTCATGATTGAAAATGGAGTCTCGTAGAGAAGAAATGAGAGCAGGAAGATTCAAGCTGTGTGGCTCCAGGAATCGCTCTGGCGCTCCTATCAATGAGGCAAGCTTTTGCAGGTGGATCTAGTTTATGGCTAAGCTTTAGAACTGTTGGCTGGTCTGTTTGGCATTCGATCCTGTGTGGATGGCCAACTTTGCAGGCTAGATGGAGACTATCGTAGGCGATGGGTTGTAAGAGCGTGTGTCTTCGTGACTGGTAAATACTAGATCGTGAACAACAGTAGAGTAGAGGTGTGGTGACAGTTGGGAAAGTTGAGCTTCACATTATCAACAGCCATCCAGTTTGTGGTAATTCTAACATTGTTTCTGAAGAGGTTTTTGAACACTGGTTAGTACAGAGTGGGCGCCACATCTCGTTCCCATGTCCCCAGATCTTGTTCTGTTGTCAGCTATCATCAACTACAATTGTGGCACCTTCATCTACCCGTCTGGTGCACAGCGCCGACTGCTACTAGTATAATAAGAAATACTCTGTTCCACTCAAGGTTCTCATGGTGTAGCAGTGCGAGGCTAACTAGTGACGACGTGCTTCAGTCCGGCTTTGGAAGAAGTCCTCGATGGTAACAGATGCTGCCTGAAACCTAAGGCCAAATGGCCCCTGATGATCGATCTTATCTAAGATAATCTATTTAGTTCGTGACACCAAAACACGGCATTGCCCACTGGCTTTCACCCAGCTTGCTCCATAAATACTATTCAATTCTTGCTTGCTTTCTTCAGCCCCAAACTTTTGGACTGTATTTGCCTGTTCCTAGATCCACTGCCCAGGCGCCTTTCTCTTCATCTTGTGCTCAACTTTCTTCCATAGACTAGTAATCTTCAGGAAATCCACTCGGTGTCAGAATGAACGACACCACCACCCCCACCACAGCGATTCCAATCAGCAACCCGAATGCGCCAACACAGAACGATGCATTGAACTCCACCCAAGACAACACTTCACTCTTCTCCTCGTCGCTGATTTCAGCTGAAGTATCGTCTCGCTTGCCAGAGGGGTACTCGATACGGCCACTACGAAGGAGTGATTACAATGGCGGTCAGTTTGTACCTGGTTTGCAAGAATATCAGGAATATCCTCGGTCCTTCGTCTTTGACTGTCTCTAATCTAGCCTGAGACTGACATATCTACAGGTTTCCTCCCTACGTTAAAGGTATTGACGACCGTTGGCGACATCTCTGAGGAAGCATTCACTACCCGCTACGATTTCATGGCCACTCGCAATGACACTTACTATATCCTGGTGGTCTGCGATGAAAACAATACCGTGGTCGGAACCGGTGCTGTCGTTGTGGAGCGCAAATTCATACATAATCTTGGCATGGTAGGCCATATTGAAGACATTGCCGTGGCCAAGAACCAGCAAGGCAAGAAACTTGGTCTAAGAATCATACAAGCATTGGATTACGTGGCAGAAAAAGTAGGCTGCTACAAGAGCATCCTGGACTGCAGCGAGGCCAACGAGGGTTTCTACGTGAAATGTGGGTTCAAAAGAGCAGGATTGGAAATGGCACACTATTACGAGCAGTCGCCCAGCACCAGCTAAGAGAGATTCTGAACGCCATCTGTAAGAGCATAGGTTGAAGCTCGGTCCATTCGAAGTGCGATGGAGGTATTAGTGTCAAAGACATTACCCAAAGCTTGCAATCAACAACCTCCAGATCTTTGAGATAAATTCGTTTGCACGATACGATTGGGGCCAAGCTGACCTTCCATCAGAGGATGCTCGCTTTACTGCCACCACATATATGCTCTTCATCGGCATATTTATGTTTGGCAGAGAAGCGTCATCAAAATTTCAAAGGTGCTCGATGGTCTGGCTAATACTTGATGGAGCTTGTTGCCATGCGGATATCCGCGGCGGACCCACCTTGACTGTGTTGGAACACGGTCGAAAACCTCTACACCTCCCGACACTGCTTCACGGATAGCCGCTCAAGCCAACAAGCTACACTGCTCTACCAAAACCCCAAATAAGCATCCGCACCAAATTTGCTTAGTGGCAGTCAAGACTCATTAATTGAGTTGGAAAGCGGTCGGGTCTGTTTGTACGCTCGTTACGTAGCCAAACATTCCACACTACTTTATCCATAATGGTCCTGTCAGATTGTACTTTCTTTTAGTTAGTGCACAGTGCCGCAAATTGTGAACCTCTGTATCACTGGTGACCTTGTCATTGATTCCCGCATGTTATCTTCATGCTATGCTTGCTAATCCTGGCAAACCCCACTAGGTCACTTCTGATCCCATTCTTTGATGAGATTGGGGCGGCTGTTGCCTGCTATTAGTAGTAGAGCTTCATCCAAGGTCTCGCTTCGGAGTCCGACATTCATCACTCATCGCGTTCTGTGCGAATGACCAGCAGCTGCTGCCCTTTGATTTTGACGTTAGTGCTCCACAGGAACTACGGAGTTATGCGTAATCTGGCTGGACACCTGGTGACTTGAAGTTTTCCTGCCCCAAGAAGGCGAATCCTGCCTACTACATGAGGGTTCTCTATTATTCTCCATCAGCAATGCGGAAAAAGCCTCCGGTTGCCTAGAAGCAATGACCAACGTAGTTTTAGAAACGAAGTCACGCTTTGTGCAAATTATGCGGCCGGAATGGAATCGAGATGAAGTGGCACTAAGTAGATTAATGTGGTGGCGGGCTGGAAAGCCGCTGATCGCCGGGTCCATCGGTCCCAAGAGCGCTTCCCACTTTCGAACTTGGCTCGCTTTCGAGAACATCTGAACTCACCATGGTTTGCGATCTTTGTTTGGCTGTTTCACAAGAGCTCAGTCAGTGTCCATAAGCACTCTCGTCGTACGCAGGGGCATCTAACTAATGTGCAATGTTCAAGGGCAATGATCTCCTGCTGCGCCTGATCTATTCTTGCACACTGGCGCTGCGGAACTTGCTTCAAGATTAGGCGGCTGTCCTAGAAGATTGACTTAGTGTTGCCTCTGACTCATGCTCTCGCAACCAGTGCCCCCTTGAATCTTGATGGAGGGGGGAAGTGATGCAGCCACACCACAAATCTCACTGATTGCTTACACGTTGCCGCCTGCCAAATTCCATCCATGGTCACTTATGGGGGCGAATCAGGCTGTTCTCAATGAGATTGGGATGGTGGGGCGATTCTTTGCTTCACCGATTGGATCCCATCTTTCAGCACAAGATTCGGTAACTAGCCAAAATGGTTTTCTGATGAAGCACGTCTGCCTGGCCTGGCGTCCCATAACATGGGCCCACAGGACCACCTGCAACAGGCTTCTTCCTTCTCTTCCTTCACTTCTTTCATGCAAACGAACTATATGGATCAAGATCTTGAGAGTTGAACTCAAGCACCACAGCCTGCTCTGCTAGCCTGCTCTGCCAGCCAAGTGCTCAGCAAACACATGAGCCAGGGAAATATGCCGTCATTACAACAATGAAGCCTCTTGCGATGTAGTTTTTCGCCTCCTTATAGAGCGTAGATGAATTCAACGGTCATAACAAGAGGAGCGAATAAGAACATGACATGAAGAAGCTCAATTGTGACCAGGGTACTCTCAGACGAGATGTTGGATTATGAAAGAGGATCACAGGAACGAGCATGGCCGAAGAAAGGAATGACCACAAGCTGGACAGGATGGATATAAACATAACAAGATTCGGATCCGTGAATTTGAAGCGCACCAAGAATATGATTGTCGCTGATTCAGGAGTAGTATCAACTATGCGGAGCACTGGGTAGTACTACGTATTTGTGCTGTGAATGTGGGCTGGGTCCAGGTTTGCAAGTGGCATCTTGGGAAGCTTTGACTCACCACGCAAGTGCAGTGGCGAGACGGTTGTCAGGCCAAGCGCCAGCTTAAAACCAACGGCAGCCCCCGAAAAGGGTTCTCCTCCCCCCGATTCCAGCACGGCGAAATGGACGAACACAGAGATACTGCACGCTTTTAGGAGCACATCTTGACTCTAGTATTATCATACCACCTCCACTCTGTCCTTGGAAGACTCATTTCAATTGTTGTCGCGTTTGTCCCTTTCAAAATTCCAACTCCGGTAAGACAAAGCCATCCCAACCCGCCACCACCCTAACACGACTCATCGTGACTATGGCGCTGACTCCAACTTCGTCGCCTATAAAGGTACCTAATCTCGCGAAAGACTCATCCTTCAAGGCCCCAAGTCTTTAATTACTCTCTTTGTGCTCAGACACGATTCGACAACACATTGCCACCAACATTTCCATTGACCGCTACTTGCAACCTTTGAGCCTATGCGATATTCCTATACACCCTCTTCAAAAGACTCGATACAGCGCTCAGTCTCATAGCGTTTGCTGTGGCACTGTAGCTCTGTTCTGGGTTCCCTTACTCTTCACTGAATGATCTCAATCGTCCCTGCGTGTACGAAGAAGAAGAACAGTCCTTTATAATTGTGGCGGAAAAGCGACATCGCCTTCCGTCTCTGACTCGACCATATTCGGTGCCAGCTCATTTGAATCATGAGTTCATCGTCCAAAGTGTTATATTCAGTACCTGCTCTGCAAAGTCCCGCGTCGGAACTATCTTCAGGCCCTCTTACCTGGTCTAGGTTCGAATTTTTGAAAGAGAACGCACCTGTCATCTAGGAGAAACTGGTTTGGAAGAAGGTCCTGGGCGACAGATTTATTGCCCAATTTTTCACCCGACACCGGACTTCTTTTGCGTGGATTTTGCAGAGCAGGGAAAAGACCTCCCTTTGCGACCAGCACCTTTGGTAACAGCTTTTGCGCCACCTCACTCTCTACCTCCCGTGTACGTAGTGAAGTGTCTCTATCACCTTCACTACATATCACGCTTTAACTTCACTTACATACACTACGAACTTTGGAGATTCTCTGGTCTCTCGTCTCTTTATTCTACACTGACCTTTAACTCTTCATGGGCACTCTCTTTGCTCATCAGAGCATGCCACATCAGAAGCGAGCTCCGGTTGGGTATTTTGAGTACTCCCTCAACCACCCATTCAGCTGTTCCGAGTCACAGCGCAAGGATGCTATCGGATCTGCCACCTCCGCCACCATCGACACCTTTAGCGATTCTAGCTCCCAGCTATCATGGAAACCAACAGCATGTCAAAGCTCTACTCAAACTACTCCTGAGTCGATCAGGTCCTACGGCAACCCCAGCCAGGCTGGTATAGCATGCCTGGGAGTTCTGCAAGAAACTGTCCCTTCCGTCGATGTACCTTCTTGGCGCGAGGGGGTGGAGAAGGAAAGCCAGGCACCTGGTTTCATCCTTCCACCCTCTCAGCGACAGAATTGTCGACGAACAGGTCTCAGTAGCAGAGGTGCTGATGCCAGACATATCTCTCCGCCCCCGACGCTGGTGCGGCAACCTGAAAGGAGGCAATGCTTTGTGAGCTCTCTGGTGATCTTTGCTGCAGGCTTGATAGCAGCAGTATGGCCGCTTTCTGCACCTGTTTTACATGACACCAGCTATGCCCACAATGTACTGCCTCTTCAAGACTTCATCACCGAGACGTTGCGTAGGTCGAAGACCAGCTACTCGACCCTTCAGGTGGCCATGTACTATCTCGTCCTGCTCAAGGCACATCTTCCGAAATGCGATTTCACGCAAGAGCAGTCCTGCGTCGCGGCTGATCGTCGGGCCATGCAATGCGGACGGCGGATGTTCCTCTCAGCGTTGATGCTTGCATCCAAGTTTTTGCAAGACAGGAACTATTCCACTCGAGCGTGGGGGAAGATCACTGGTTTGCCAACCTCTGAAATCAACACCAACGAGCTCAAATTCCTGGAAGCTGTTAACTGGAAGCTCCATGTCAGCAAGGAAAAGTTTGAGCGTTGGAGTCATGCAGTCATTGCTCTAAGCTCACCACCCAGGCCTGGCATCTCACCTACTCCGCAACCTAGCTTGGTGGAGACGGTTGGCTGGAGCGCCGTCCTCGAACGATTGACCCCCGATTCTCTCGATGACTTTTCACAGTTCCGAAACGGGTCGGCAATACTGAAAAATCCATGCTACCCAACTGACCTTAATGGCATGCTTACGCCCCCAACTTCGCCACCAGAATCCACCACTTCCGATCAGGAAGAGCCATCCGATGGTGCAGAAGTCAAGGACGATGCCTTCCATATCGCAGCATCCAACGGGGTGACTTCTACTTATCCCATCCTTCCCCCGGCGCCATGTCAGCAGAACTTGCCCACGCCTAGGAGTACTCCACGGCTGTCCAAATCCCTATCTTCATCACGAGCGGCTCGAGGGACTGCTCGTTGCCCTGAATCATCGTCAGCACTGGCTATGCTCAAGCTGTGCGCTCGACCCGCGAATCGAACACTCTGTCCACCACCCACTCAAAGACCATGCCCGCGAGCCGATGCAGCTAGCCGACCTTCAATCAGCCGCAGATCGTCTATCTCCAGCTCTACCTCCGACTCTTCGTCGCCCGAGTCGGTGCGATCCGATCTTTCTGGCTTCCCCGGTCGATCACGATCCTCATCCATCTCGTCCGTGGCATCTTCTGTTTTGGCATCATTTCAAAGTGCGAACACGCTGGACTTGGTGTCGAATGACGCGCAGCTACCATGCCACCTCCAACAACATATCAACCCTTCTAAGGTCGACTGCAGCTCGACGCTTAGACCAGAGGAATATAGCGCAGCAGATGCTCTGCTTCGATTCCACGAGTTCCGCCAAAGGGAAGCGAAACAAGAGGAAGCAAGTAAGCCAGTCAGTGATTCGATGCAGAGCGACTTGACTCAGTTCTCCAACCATCAATTAACTGAATGTACTAGCTATCAGGAGAAGGAGAAGAAGAAGAAGAAGAAGCGGACGCACTCCAAGACCAACATATCCGACCTCTTAAATATCCCTGAAGATGATCTACAGTCCTTGGTTCGAAAGGAATTGATGACCTCCGGCGGTGAGGTCGAACCTCTTGTCACGTGCGATGATGATGCCGCCAATAACACCCTGGGAAGACAGTGCAAACGCAACCGATCCATCAAAGGGCAGTCGTCAGCTGTCGACCATACACGAATGCTGATGAAGGAGAAGAACAAAGAGAAGCGAACATTTTCCAGCAAGTGCCGCATCTCACACTCGGAGAACAGACAAGCATTAGCGGGATTTGCTGGTAGGACCTGAATCGATTAGATTTTGGATTCGATCTGGCAACTGAGCATATGCGCCTTGAGTGCATTCGGCTGATAGAGCAAACACTCTGGAGGATGTCTATCTGAGGCAAGCCAGTTTTGGGAAGCATCTCTCCATCGGCGCGTGTGGCAGCTACCATGCTCACCATCTATGTCCATAGCTTATACTATTATTCATTTGAACGAGACCATCATTTATACCTTAAAGACTTGCAGTGTTCACATGGTAGATATGCTGAAGCTGCAGACCATCATGGACAGGATGGGGCTGGTGTTTCTTCAGCAGCAACCTAGTAACGTTGAAGTCGGGTAGGATCAATCATGATTGGAAGTCTTTGGTCTTGTGGGAGTGACTCGAGGGGCGAAGACTCGTGGAGGAGTAGCGAACGGCAGACTTGCCTTTCTGGGCGAGGTGACGAATTGGATATACTACGTACTATACTACTATCCGAGTATACTCCATTGCTCTCTCTCTCACACCCCCTTTGATTGCCTTTTCACTCACGTTTGACGGGCAACCAAGCCTTGACATTTTACCGGAACCGACCCGCAGACCCATCTACAGACACAATGCTTCTCAACCATATTCTCTCCCCACTGGCCCTGCTCCCCTTCACCCTCTCTGCCCCCTTAGACACCCAGGCCCCGCTCTCCTCATCCGCAGACCCGCACACCGATTCCCGTGTCCCTACCCGCTACGAATCCACGATCCTAGGCCGACGCCTCCTCGCCCTGTCCAGCACCATCTTCTAGATACTATTTAGCTCCTGGTGGGATGCCTACCCCTTGCTGACGGGCCACCGACCCTGGGCCCCGGCCGACCTGCCCCGCTTGAGCATGATCGGCTACCTGGAGGAGATGTCGATCCGCGAGGCCGAGGAGACGGGGTTGGTGGCGTGTTATCTGCGGAGGCATCCCGATGCCAGGCTCTGGTTGCCCGGGGATGAGCATGCGGCGCATAGCGGGAGGTGGGTGAGGCTGGTGGTGAGGGAGGTTTATTGGATGGGCGGCTTTGGCGATCGGCACTGGATCGGGTGGTTTGATCGCGAGGAATGGAATGCGGTGCGGGAGGCGGAGTGGGAGGCGGTGAGACTGCCCGGGGAGAAGGATTGAGTGTCATCACTTGTTGGGAGGAGCGGGGCGGAGGGACGGAGTTCAGCGGGCTAGGAAATTCGCTTTTCTCGCTGGGAGATTTGAAGAGCGAAACTGGGGAATATATCCGAGTGGTTGTCTGCTGGATCAACCCTTTCTCTCCAAGCACGAAGATCATCGTCCCAAAGCTTAGACGCTCCATCATCCTCGGGTACTCGTAGGAGACCAGGCCATCACTCCTCCGAGCATCCTACTAAAAAGGGAAAAATCAAAACTGATCGATTCTCTCTCACACACTCCCAGTGCAGTCATCTATTCCCCACAACATCTACTACCAGAACCCATCACTGCTGCAGACCACACGAATCCCGACCGATTCCATATCCCCCGAGCGCGCCCTCCCCAATTCATTACCATCGTCGTCGTCGTCATCATCATCACTATCATCATAACAGCAGTAAAGTCCCAGACATGATTCCTCCCTCCCCTCAGACGTCCGGCCAGACAGCCAGGTGAGCCCCCGGGGGCCAGCGGGGCAGGGGGTTGGTGATTGTAAATAGAACTGGGAAGGAGGCAGCGGCCCTTCCCCAAGCATCACGCATCACGCATCACGCATCTCCAAGTAGCCCCCTTCCAGGTGCACTCCTCTGAAGCCTAAGTCTAAACCCCTACAAGCCATTGATTGATCGATCTATTTAGTACTGCGCTTGCTCTCCTTCCTTCCTTCCTTCCTTCCTTCCTTCCTTTCTTCCTTCGCTTCTTCACTTGATCGTCCATTCGTTTCGTTTCGTTTCATACATACCGCCGTTTGCTGTTCGTGTCGTGTCGTGTCGTGTCATGTTATGTCATGTCATGTCGACAAGCTGACTGGCTGGGTTCTGGTTTGGATTTTGGGTATTGGATTTTGGATTTGGGGTTGAATTCGATAGGAGACTTGGGCGGGTGCTGGTGCTGGTGATGATATATCTGTGCGTACGGTGTGGTGCGGTATTGTTGTCTGGGTGTTGTTGGGGGAAAGTGGCCCGGGGGGACTGGCTTCAACAGGGGCGAGAGGGGGGGATGGATGGATGGATGGATGAGCCTGTTCTGGTTCACGATAGAAATGTGAGTGCAGCATGGCAGGAGTACAGTAGTGAAGGGCAGAGACTGCGATGGTTATGGGAAGAAGAGGACGTGAGTAAAGTGTTGTCAGATGAGAACAGGGTCGGCATGGCGGTACGTATATATATCTATTCTGTGGCATGCTAATTTCACCATAACAACTGGGTCCTTGAGCGCAGTCTCAGTCGCTGTCGACCTTTTACATACGCCCCGCCTATTGAACCGCATAAAGAGAGCGTGTTGATGGCTCCAGCCCAGTCGACTCCTCTAGATCGAAGTCCCCCTTCTGGACAGACACGGCGGCCGTGACAAATTTAGATGCCCACAAACTCAATTTTCTTTGAACAACCATGGCATTATCACAAATGACAAGTACAAAGGTAAGGGGCACAAGATTTGTGTCGCACCTAGGTCTAACGACTGTCCGAAGTACCTTGTCGGTAGTGAGGTTGTTCCTTTTGCGTTTCCTCGCTTGTGGTCTTGAAGGAATAGAGAGAATCTGCGTGGAATCTCTGCTTTCCTTCTGAAATGGTGGAGTACAAGAGTGCTTATTGCTGGCTCTTCTATGTCGATGGCTGGAGGTATGTTCGTGGTTGTTGGTGGCACCGCTGAAGCAGCGGCGAGGACGGAAAAGAGGAGTGCCGTTGTGATGTCATGATGTGTCGAAGTTTAAGGGAGCCGATGAGCAAATCATGTGTGCACCAGGAAATGTCGATTCGTTGGAAATCTTAACATCTGGTTGTTCTGCATCGAACGTGAGCGAGGTGAGGTTGCTCAGGATGATAGATCAAGATATCATGTTGTGGTCACACGACAAGAGTCGCTCCATCCATGGCGTGAATTACAACCGAGGCTCCGAAGTCGGCATGAGTGGGTATACCTTTGGATTCCTTGAAAGTTGTCGTTGATGCGATGAATTGCTGCACGAGCTTCTTTTTACCTAAGGTGGCATGCCGAAGCTCGGAACTCTAAGTACAGCCTCCCACCTCCAACGCAGCTCAGCCCGCCTCGGTATCCTTCAGAGCTTTGGTAACCAACCCGGTAGCCCTTCCGACTTCACCAGCATCTTTTCTCGCTGAAGCAAGTCCGGCTTCCATGCTAGAAGCAAACCTCTCCTTAAACACTCTGATACGATCTTCCCGATCTTCAAGCATATCCGTATCATCGTCTTTTGGAGGTCCGAACAGATTTAGGTAGCCATAAGCGTTTGATCTCGTTGGCAACCCGTGCTGCTCTGGATGCCACCTCGGAAAAGGGAACCGCGATTCCAGATTGTCATCTGTCTCAGACAAGTCGCTGCCGGTACTGAAGCCGGCTTTCAAGAAATCTGCCAGGACTTGTAGATTGCGAGATTGTGCCTTACCCTCAGACCCAGCCTTGCCAAAGGATACACGGTTGGTAGACCACTTAGCGGAATCTTGGTTGTGCCAGCCGAGTAAAGTGAGGAAGCAGTTTAGAGTCTTGACCCATCCACCTGCACAGGATACAACTTCATCCGAAGCAATGTCAGTTGACCAGGCCAACACTTCGACAGAGAAAAGTCTAATATCAGCGGCAAGATGCGTCATGCCAGCTCGAATGTATGGTAGGATTTCTGCAACGTGGTCGGACATTTCACTCCGCGGTAGAGCTCGGAGCAGTCTGAGGGTTTGCTGGCGAACACCGTTGCTTCCATCGAGGATAAGAGGAAATATTTTGGGCAGAACAGTGCTCAATGGCTGCGGAAGTGAAGAGTCGACAGGTCGAGAGGTCACAAACGAAGTCAGATATGCCAAAGAGTCTCGCCGTTGTGCATCGGCTCGTGATGACAGCAAAGACAGATGATGGCCGAACTGGCACACTGTAGATGGAGCCTCGATATGCAAGGATTGCTGATTGAGCACAATGGCTGTAAACTATGGTCAGCGGGCGGTACATTCGTTCGGATGCTGTGTGTTCCAACCTTTTGATCGGAAGCTGGTTTCGGTGTGATTAGCTGCTTTTGGCCGTGCTTTTCCGACTTTCAGCTTCGGCTTCTAGAAACCAATTAAGCAGACGGACGGTATGATTGGCCTGGTCACTGACCTGGAAATCCTTCTTCTTCTCCCTCTTCTTCTTCGCACTGGAACCCATGTTGTTGAAGCACAGCGGGCTCGGTGGGAAGGCCCCAGCAGGGAGCAGTCGGCACCAGGGCTTCAGCCGAAGCGAATGCTAGATGGATCCCTGCAGTTTCCGTATCAGCGTATCAGCGTATCAGCGGGAGAGCGACTGTTTCTAGCCGCGGGCGCAGAAGGTGCCAATGTGAAGTCTGTCCGAGGAGTCCCAAATTCCCTTTCCATTAGCAATCATGACCTGAGCATCACGGTGCAGGGCCTGAGCTGTGACCAGGATGACGTTTGCCGCAGACCGACATCCGAATGTTTCGATTGGCATGTACTAGAGTATCAGCATTTGTGGGTAAGCGGTCAGCCTTGCCGGACGCCTGCAGAATGCACACGTCAAGGTGTTTATCGGAGTCACTATGGATTAGCAGGTACGCGGTACATGCGTAGTACTGATTAGTGTGTGTATTTCGCGTATTTCGCCAGAAAAGGGAAAAATGAAAAGGAGGATGTGGGTGGTGGGTGGATGCACAGACCATGAAACGGCCGGATGCTCCCGTGCGTGGAACAGGCTGCTGCATTAGTGGCTGCGTTAGTCACACTCGCTACTACGTCGTAAGTTGGTTATCGAATCTTAGGCTTCTTAGGCTTCTTAGGCTTCTTAGCCTCCTTAGCTGCTTCGGATCCGAAGTGTGTGCTCAGCTTTCACCATCATCCTACACCACTATTGCCCGGCAGAAGCGCACATGAGAGCTGGTGGGATTGCGCAGCAGCCTGCATCCGATGTTGATCCTCTCCTGTTTTGCTTAAAGAGTCGGGCTGTTGGCTTGACTTGGGCTTCTCTCATCGATCATCACATTCAATTACTGTCTTCAGCCAAACATCAACAACTGGCTGGCATTCCACACTGATCAATACCATGGCCACTTCAACTCAAGTAGGTGTCTTCCTTCGGCTACAGATCGAGCACTCTCTGGGTTTCGGGAGAAGACCGTACTAATCCAAGTGCTGCAGACTTTGTCGCTGTCGGAACAAGTCTCCAACACTTTGCAGTCGTTAACGAGTCGTCCTGGGGTTGAGTCGACCTTGATCTTGTCACGCAAGAACGGCAGCATCATCAAAGTGGCAGGTGCCCTGGAAGATGAACCGCAACATCCGAAAAATGGGATTGCCTCGTCGGGCACACTTTCTCCTGCCTCGGCGACTGCTGAAGGCGTAGCGGCCACGTCGATTGAAGATGGGGATACTGGTGACGAAGCCATGGACACAGTTGCTGAAACCGGACGCACTCGAGCAGAAAGACTTGCCTCAGATATATTTCTGTTTGTCTCGACAGCATCGTTCTTAGCCTCTTCACTTGAGTCGACGGCCACGCCGAAGGTTCATGACGCAGGCTACCAGAACGGCACCAGCTATGGACATCTACACAAAGGAAAGACTACCGCAATCGCGGAGCAAGAGGTCGATGTCAATCCCTTGCAGCTTTTGAGAATGCGATCCAAGAAACATGAGATTGTCATATTTCCTGATCCCAACTTCCTTTGTTGTGTGGTGCAAAGTATGGAACGCCTAGCCAGGTGACTTTCCACCATGTTGGCGACGGTCTCCAATCGCTAGGAGGCTCTTTCGGCCCGTTTCAGCGTTTACGGAGAGAGTGAAGCGCTCTGATAATCCGGCTCCTGCAACATCGGCAAGGCAAAGATAAGCAGCACTGCGAGATGACGTACTCACGCCCAGTCTCAGCCTCGAAGAAAGATAATTTTACCGGCAAGCTAGCGGTACCGCAAATATTACGGATCGGGGAACAGCCTGATCTGGTTCCGGTGCCAATGCCCTGGGTCTTCCTATTTTCGGTCTCTACGATCCTCATCAAGGATGTTAAGCGAGATTTCAAATTGCAACACAGTCATCGTTGCTATACACGCGTCAACCAGTCCCGAAGTATTCCAATTGTTTTCTTGGCGTGGATCGTTAAGATCGTCATCATTTCAACATCGCTTCGGTGGCTCCGTCAGTCTTGTCTAAGGCTATCACCTAAGCATTAGCCTCTAGTGCTGAGACTCCGGTTGTTAATGGAGGTAATCATGATCAGGGGAGGAGCAAGGGCATCAAGGGCGCTGATGTACATTCATAGACCAGAAATTGCGTTTCGGGCTCACGCCCTATCTGCAATAGGATTCAACTTCTGCCTTGTTCTTCACAGCCGTCAAAGACCCAGATAACTTCCTGTTTCCATCCTTCCCTGTCGCTGCCTCAGCCCAGCACCCTCTAAAACCTTTCAACCCCTTTACAAATGTGATCCACCCGGCGAAGTGACTTACCTGCCAGCAAGATTAGTGCCTAACCATTCAGCGCTCCTCCCAGTCATCAGTGACCTTCCTCGCTACCTCCCCTCCCAAAGTCTGCAAAAGCGCCAAACCACCAGTAGGTCCACCTCTTCCACGATCCCTTACATTACTTGCATCTACATCTCCTCCTGATTCGCTTCTCCTAGCACCAGCCGTGCCCAATGGGTCTGCCAGTCCATAGCCGTCGCACTGGCCCCTTTTCCCCCCCAATCACCACCACCACCACCACAACTCGCTTAAACATTACAATAAGCACTCCTGTTCGAAATCTCTTGTTCTAAATCCCTCTTTGCCGCCGCATTACTCCGTATCACACCAAGCCTCCCCCTCAAACCGAAATACATCATCCTCCCCATCTCATATCCCCATCCTCTCCCCCCTGCGACAGCGACAACAACGTCAAATCAACATAACACATCTCAATGAAAACAAGAAGGAAGGAAAAAAAGGGGTGCAGTTAGTCAGTCGCATGACCAGACTAGAACAGGCCAGACCAGACCAGACGCAATGCAATGCAATGCGATGCGACGCCCTCACACACACCGAGTCCTTCTCATCCCCGACCAGGGATATTTCCCAACGCAGACGGCATCCCATCTTCGATCTTTGATCCTGATCTCCTCCAAAATATAGACTACGTTTGTGTGTTGATTTTGGTGTTGGTGTTGGAAGACCCAAAACACCACCACCACGAAAAACAACAACAACAAAAAAAACCAACAGTGCAAGCTCGCATCGGTTCCCGATCTCAACATGCTCGAAGACACAGGCTCCTTCTTCTCCGGCGCGGTGTTGTAGAGTCTTCGACCGAGAACCCTTCATTCTGGGGAGGTGGAGGTATGGGTTAGTAGCCTATATATCTCTTACTTGTTGAGGTGATCAATTGACTGACTGACTGGCTGACTGTCTGTCTGTCTGTCTGTTTGTGTGTACGCCGTTTGCCATGCCGCTGATGCGACAAATATTTATAGTTCATAGATGGGCCAGTCTACGATGGGATCATGAAATGAGCAGCTGAGAAATATGGGATAGGATATGATATGATATGATATGATATGATATGATATGATATGATATGATATGATATGATATGATGTGATGTGATAAGCTTCTCCCCCTCCAAACGAAAGAGTGCTGTTCTAAATCCTAAA